TATAATGCCCAAAAATGGTCTCGTTTTCGTTATTGGTCCGTACTTGAATAATAGGAAAAATTTATTTCCCCGCTAATACCCCCGCCCCCCGCTAACAGTCCAGTACCGAACCGTCTCACCTCTTTTATCGAGCCCTATATGTTTTTGTGGTAAAAAACTGAGAAACTCTTGAAGAGTATTGAACTGTATAAAGAAGTATTTTTATAGAAGCAACCCGAATTCTCAAAATTCAATTGAATTTTTGAACCGATTTATAATGAGTTTTTGCTTAGTTAGCGCCTAGATTATTACAGCAACTTTGGCAAGCTTACCTCAAAGATTCCAAAAGCTATTAGGTAACCGAGTTTGGCGACACGCTGTTCATCGTATTGCGGAAGAGGCCGCTCATCTTTCTGCACTACTACCACCACGCCGCCGTGCTCGTGTACGCCATCCATTCCGGTAGGTTACAAAATTTAGATTTTAGTTGTTTGGCCTGACGGCTTGAAACGCAACTGGCCAACTAGCAGAGATCATTTGGGAAATGGCATAACTTTCACAGGTTCCGGGCACAATGCCACTGGGCGTGTGTTTATGATGATGAACCTTTTTGCCCATGCGTTGATGTACACCTACTTTGCGGTCAAGGCGAAACAGGTGAGGGTGGGCAGGCTAGCGGAGAAAATTTGGGAAAACGGTTTGGTTTGAAAACTTCATTTAAAGGCAGAGTATAGAAGACCGAGTTGGTTGAAGCCTGTTTCATTGGGCCAGCTAGCAGAGAGCATTTACGGATTCGGGCCATCTAGCAGAGAACATTTGAGGATCCGGGCACACTAGCAGGGATTATTTGTGGGATCAGGCTAGCTAGCAGTGAGGATTTACGGATTCGGGTCAACTAGCAAAGAACATTTGCGGATCCGGTCAGCTAGCAGAGGCGCTTTGCGGAATGATGCTAGCTTTCAAAGAGCATTTACGCTTTCGGGACATCTAGCAGAAATATTTGGGGATTCGGGAGCTAGCAGATACCTTTACGCATTCGGGCCAGCTAGTAGAGAAAATTTGCAGATTCCCCCAATCTTAGACAAGTTGTTTGAAGTTTTTCAAGGGCTAACTAGCAAAGAACATTTCTGGCTATGGCTAGCTAGCAGAAACCATTTGCAGATCCAATTTTCCAGGTGAACGTGCCCCGCTGGGTGGCAATGGCGGTGACGACCGTGCAGACAATTCAAATGCTAGCCGGGGTTGCCGTCAGTATCTTTGTCTGGTGGGCGATGCGGGCGAGGGCGTGGAAATGCCAGCAGTCCACCGCCAACCTTTATCTCGCCTTTTTCCTCTACGCAACGTTTGCCGTGCTGTTCGTGCAGTTCTTCTGCCGGGTACGCATTTATCAATTTTTTACAATTCTTGAATTTCAGACCTATCTAAAGCCGCGTGAGAAGGAGGCGAAAAAGATGGATTAATACGAGAATTATATATTTTTTTATTTTCAATATGATCGACTATAGTGGTGCATTTATTGTGATTTTTCATAATTTTACGGGGATTTCGGAAAGCCATTTTTTCCTTGTTTCCAGCAAATAAATATTTTTGGGGTTCAAAAGAGCATTATATATGAGCAATCAATACCGAGAAAAGGACTCTGAAATCCCGAATCAGCGACTAAACTGGAAAATACCGAAATTCGCTAGGAATCTGCGGGTTCGTGTAGGATTCTAATTTTTTCAATTACCTCTATCCTCCTGGGAGCCCGACGTCGTGCTCCTGAAATCCCAGCCAGACAGGCTAACCAAGACGCTTTCGGAATCATGCCAACAATTTAATTGTAGGCCGTTTCGGGGCGTTGAGAGGCTAAAAATGGCCTTGTGCTCAGCGCCGTTTTTTCAGAGGACTTCAGGGTGTCCTTGAGGCCCGCGGGGCGGATTCAAACGGTTGCTCAAAAGCAGGAGAGAGAGCGAGAGAGAGAGCGAGAGAGAGAGAGAGAGCGAGAGAGAGCGAGAGAGAGCGAGAGAGAGATACCATGTTTGACTCTGGATGGTCATGGCGTCAAGGACACTTCCAGGGTATGCAAGCGTGCCCCGTTACCATAACCGCTTGTCTGGCTCTCTCTCATTCTCGCTCTCTCCCTCTCTCTCTCCCTCTCTCTTTCTCTCTCTCTCTCTCTCTCTCTCTCTCTCTCTTTCTCTCTCTATCGCTCTCCTTCTCTCTCTCTATCGCTCTCTCTCTCTCTCTCTCTCTCTCTCTCTCTCTCTCTCCCTCTCTCTTTCTCTCTCTCTCTTTCCCTCTCTATCGCTCTCTCTCGCTCTCTCCCTCTCTCTCTCCCTCTCTCTTTCTCTCTCTCTCTCTCTCTCTCTCTTTCTTTCTCTCTTTCTTTCTCTCTCTATCGCTCTCTTTCTCTCTCTCTATCGCTCTCTCTCTCTCTCTCTCTCTCTCTCTCTCTTTCTCTCTCTATCGCTCTCTTTCTCTCTCTATCGCTCTCTCTCTCACTCTCTCTCTCTCTCTCTCTCTCTCTCTCTCTCGCTTTGTCCACCACCTCACCTCCGAAAATTCCCTCAATTTGATGACCTGCCCTGAGGGGTGCTCCTTTGTTATGCGCCGCGCACCCCCGAAATAATCGGGGCCACTCGGAGGGTGACGAGGGGTTAGCAGCCAGTCGGCTGGTTCTCATCCTGAAGCGATTATTCTGCTTTTATATACTGTTAATGGAAGATTATAGAATTTACAGGCTTGCTCTCACTCTCTCACTCTCTCCCCCTCTGTCTCTCTCGTTATCTCTCTGTCCCCTTACCTTCTATATTTTTGGCTTGAATTTTTCCTACCAATTAATCGTCAGCCCCTAAACCGTCAAGTGTATCATTTCGGAGTCTACGTATTGGAGCTGTGGCTGAGAATTGTGTATGTGAAAGGGCACTCGTACCACAGCGGGACGCCTCCCTGACGGCGCTCGATTTGCGCGAATTCACCGAGGCCAGGGAAAGCCGGATTATCGATTCTCTGCAAATCAGTCGTAGGGTGTCACTTGCAGCTGGGTGCAGTCGGTCGTTGAATTTCGTGCAGAAGCGAGGGATAAGCCAAGTCTCAGCCTAAGCCTAAACATAAGACGAAACCCAAGTCGAAGCCGAAGCCTAAGCCCAAACCTGAGCCAAGCCTAAGCCTAAGCCTAAGCCTAACAAGCCCAAGCCTATCCCCAACCTCGTTGGCTAACAACCGTCGTCAACGCGGTGGGCCCTAAAGCTGGCCTTTGTGGGCCCTTTGCTGGTGCCCAAAATTCGGGGTGTCCCACGTTTCCATGGCCCCAGCCATCGGCCGCATACGTCCACATCCCCCCACTCTGCATACTTCGCCGTTGACCTGGGGCCCACAGCTGATGGATGGACGAACGGCATCGGCACGTCCATTTCGCGCCCAGCGCGGCGCGTCGACGCTCATATTCTGACGCGGACATTGTGGCGTTGCGCGATCCGTGGGATGGTGGTGTGTATTATGTGGAACGGCGGCCGGAGTGGGTCGGAAAGGATGAAAAGGTAAGGGGTGATTTATTGTCGCTGGATAGCTGAAGCTGAAGACAGCTGGTCGGTCTTGAAATCTAAGCCTATGCTGAAGCCTAAGCCTCGATTAGATCTAAGCCTAAGCCCAAGCACAAGTCTATTCCTATTCGAAGCCTAAACCTAAGCCTAACTTAAGCCTAAGCTGAAGCCTGAACCTAAGCCTAAGCCTAAGCCTAAACCTAAGTCGATGCCTATGCATAAACCTAAGCAAACCAAGCGAAATCTTCGAACTTTGATCATATCTGGTTTTTTTTGAAGTTTCTAGCGTTTTTTGCCAATTCCCTCCCCTTTTTCGGCACTCACTTTTTCAAAACCCCCCTCCACACCCCTGGGGGCAGTCGAGCGCAATTTAGCGGCACTGAAGGGCTGGCTGGGGGCCCGTTATGGGGCCAGATTGCCCAGAAAATCGCGGCGGGACACCTGTCCGGGGCACTCACGCGTGTACTACGCCCCTTTTCAAGGGGGTTTGTTGTGAAAAGTAATGAAAGGACAAAGGACAATGCTGAGGCTCAGCTGCTTCAGCATAAAAATAAACTAATTTTATCCCAATCATAAGCTTACTTAGTTCCGAACCTAAGCCTAAGCATAAGCTTAAGCCAATCCTAAGCCGGATTCGTTGCATAAGCCTAAGCTTAAGCCTAAGCCGAAGCCGTAGTCTAAGCCTAGGCCTGAGCACAAGCTTAAGCTCGAGCATAAGCCTAAGTCGAAGCCTAAGCTTGCTCCTAAACCTAAGCCCAAGCTTCCCCCTTCTCCCAAAATGACGTCAGTTCCCGCGAAATACGGTAATTACCATGGCGAGATATTTGTTGTGCGTGTGTTGCCAATGCGCGCACAGACAAACATACACAGCCACAAACAGGCCCCGCGGAACTCGTCCTCCACCGCCCATTCTCCACCCACCTCCATCTATCTGTATTATTCCCCCCCAACCAATCCTCCGCGCGCGACCATTTTCGTTTGTCCGCGCCCATCGATCGGGAATTGCCGCGGGCAAGTCGGCTTCGGAATTGTGGCCATAGAATTACTTAGTTTGGAAGCCAGAGCTATATCCTTGCTGTCGCGGCCCCTTTAAAAATTAAAATTTTCGTTTTTGTGCTGATTTTTGTGCCATTTTTGAATCGGTCGACCCCTAGCATTATTCTTTCCAAATTTCCACTTCTTCTTCACGTTTTTCGCCCATATCATCTCCCTTTTTTTCCGAACGGCGTCGCGATTCCGATTTTACACGATTTTCGCCGTGCCGTAGCCCGTCATTTGTCAAGTTGTGTCGTGGGAACGGACCGCGTTTTTGGGTGAAACGTAGCCGCTCCGGTAGGAGAAATTTCCCGAAAAAAAGCTTATAAAAACGAAATAAGGATTTTTTGCGATACTGCAATATCCATATGATCCGCAGCCTAATCCCAAGCCCAAGCCTAAGCCTCAATAATAAGCTTAAGCCTAAGCCTAACCTAAACCTAAGCCTAAAACCTAAGCCTAAGCCTATTCCTAAGCATAATCCCAAGCAAGCCTGTTTCCCAAGCCTGAAACTTAAGCCCAGGCCTAAGCCTAAACCTACGTCCAAGCCTTAGCCCGAGCTCGCCTGGCCCAAAGGCGCACTAATGACGCGGTGAGCGCCACTTTGTCATAGCAGAATTGTGGGTGCTCCCGGCGGGGAAGCGATCCCTCGACCGGTCCATACAGCTACGTTGCATTCCTCTGCACACCTCTCGCGGGCTACACCGGGGCTCCGATTCCGGATGCCGATACCACGCGACGCTCATTTAGCCCCTGAATGCAAGGGAATCCACGTTTTTATCGAATTTTTCGATAGTTTCGCCCGAAGATTTTGTGAGCAACAAAGGTGTCGATTGTCGGTATTTTGGTATCGGTATTTTGGTTATCGGTATTTTGGGTTGTCGGTATTTCCGGTTGTCGATATTTTATTTTTCGGGATTTTCGGCGTCCTGGTTTTTTGCTGTCGGGGTTATCACCGGAATTCAACTCGGGTTCAACTTCCCCACGCTGTCATTTTTGCCTTTTTCTTTGCTTTGCTCGTAAGCCTAAACTTAAGCCTAAGCCCAAGCCGAGCCTAAGCCTAAGCCAAGACTAAGCCTAAGCCCAAGGCCAAGCCTAAGCTTGTAAATCGGTTCCTTTGAAGCCTCACTTTGAGCCGGATCATTTTTCGATCTCCATTCAGGCTCAGAAATCCCCCTGTGGGAGCGCAGTAGGTGAGAGTGACCCCTGCGAGGGGAGTCACGGTTTTTTTGTCAGAGCTGGGATCTGGAGGGAGGGAGGAAGGGGTGGGGGGATGAGAACGAGGTGGGGTGGGGAGGTTGAGATGGGAGAATGATAGCCCTTTGGCCTGGTATACCCGTTTGGATTGTCCTTCAATCCCTCAGTGCTGCTGCATTCAAGGTCTTCGTCCTGTCCACCCCACCCTTCCATCCAGCCATTCCACCCCATCCTCTTGCTCTTCTGTACACCCGGCTGGGAGTACCACTCCCCAATGGGAGCACCATCGATTGGATGCTTACCTACGTTCGATTATAATATTTTATGAATTGTAAAATAATTTTTTTGATTTTGTTGATCTAATCAGTTGATTAGCCAAAATTATATGAAAAAATATATATAGTTTTTCAATGAATTTTTAATTGATTTTCACTGTATTTTCAATTGTCAAATTCCCTTTTTATGTTATCGATTGACAGGGCCAACAAGCAGTGATTATTTGAGCACGAGTCCATCCTAAAGCTAACAGCGATTATTGAGACAATTATTTATCCAAACTCATGTTTAAAAAGGCGTTGTTTGGAGCCTCTCGTAGTTGGATTTTAACCCTGAACGGTTTTTCGCATTCCTCGGCCAGCTAGCAGTGATTATTGAGGAAAAACCTTCCATACGTTTTTTTACCCTCGATTTCTTGCGCTATATAGCAGTGATTATTTGGGGAAGATTTCTCGTTCTAAAATCCAGTACGCAATGAAAACTCCGGTGTTTGCGTTGCGTATCGCGGTCGTCCAAATCTAAGGCATTATTTTGACCTTTCCCATCCCTTTAAAAGGATTTGATTTGAGAATTTTGACCGGTTTTTCATTTTTTTTGGCAAACGAGCAGTGATTATTTGAGCCTCATCGAGTCGTCGGCCAAAAAAGCTTATTCGGAAATTCCTGGATTATGCAAATTTTTGGCCGGATTTTGAATAGGATTTGTCTAAGTTTTAAAGGTACCCGCACGGCATGACCATGGATTGAACATCTTACCTTTCTATGGCGTAATGCGTCGTGCTCATTTTGCAGCGCTGTGAGCATTGCGTGTCGCGGGTGAAACCAAGCCGATGGAAAATCGCTAGTTTCAAAACCATAGCCACTGACTACGCGAGATTCCGCGACTGTACGCTATTCTACGGCGATTTTTAAACCCATAGCTCTTCAAAAACAGAATTGAACAAAATTCGAGCGTTATTGTTCAGAAGAGAGCGAAAAAGAGCAAAATACCCAACAACCACTTCAACCACCCCACCCAAATAGCCCGAAGCGGCGCGCGCGGGGCGCTAAATAGTGGCGAGTTTCGGGCTGTGAAAGGAGGCTGAACCCGCGGGGATGAGTCATGGAAAAGCGCGGCGGTTTGCCAGGGCTCCGCGCCGCCCCGATCCACGGCCTCAATCCCCCGGAATTGGGCAGCCAGAGCATACATAGTGACAGACAGATATATGTAGAAGAATAGAGAGCGAGGGAGAGAGAGACAGAAAGGGGCAGAGAACGAGAGAGCAGGGCAGCCCCACTTATATGTGTCGAGCCCGGGCACGCACTCCCTCTCAACACTGCCAGCCACAACCACCGCAACCTTCCTGGGAACCTCGATCAGCATCTGGGAACCAGCCCTGTCTGTCAATAGGTGTATTCTGTACTTTTGTATTCACGAGTATTGCAAAGGATCATGGCACGAAATGTGAGTTTACAGGGCGAGTGACACCAAGCCTTATGGTGTTCTCTCAGACACTCGCTCTCCGTCTAGCTCTCTCTCTCTCTCTCTCTCTCTCTCTCTCTCTCTCTCTCTATCGCTCTCTCTCTCTCTCTCTCTCTCTCGCTCTCTCTATCTCTCTCAGAACACTCTCTGTCTTCCATTAATGTGTGTTCGTGCTTTTCTTGGAGGACAACAAGCAGGGATTCTTTGAGAAACAAGAAACTCGGTTCGACCTATCGAACTTGTTATCTCTCGCTCTCTCCCTGGCTCTCTCTCGCTCTCGCGCTCTCTCTCTCTCTCCTCTCTCTATCTCCAAATCTGTAAGACACTGTAGAAGCCAAAGAATTCACTAACTAACTAATACTACGAAATTCCGCCTCACTCCTCCCTCCACGTGACCCTGTTTACCGGTTGTTTTCCTTCCCCTCGATGGCCTCTAAAAGATGCCTCCCTAAAATGCACTAACTTTCCCCGCCCCCCAAATTCCAAAACAGTTTTGTTTATTTCAACGTAATCTCGATCGTCTAGCCAGCCGGGCATTTCTTAGGGTCCCGTTTCGGCAGCACCATTTTAAAGGCAGCGTGTCGGTTAGTGATTTTCTCATCGAAGCCTGATTTTCGGCGTCTAGACGATTTTTCGTTGCGAGAAAGTGGGAGAGTAAAAATTCGATTCCTTGGAAATTTGCCATCCCATTTTCCGCTCCATTCCCGGTCACAATCCCATTTTCCGGATGACCGCTCCGTCCGGTGGAGGTCCGCTTAAAAAAGCCTCGGCCGATAAATCGATGCGCGGGTTTTTGAAGTGACGGGGAGGATGGCCTTGGTTGGTTGTTTGTGATGTATTTGTATCCCTCTCTGTCTCTCTATCTCTCTCTCGCCCTCTCGCTCTCTCGCACTCATGCTCCTCCTCGCTCTCACGATCCTTCTCACTATCTCTTTCTCGCTCTCTCCCTCTCTCACTCCGTCTTGTTCCCCCTCCCTCTCTCCCTCTCTCCGCTTGACTACGCGACTGTACACCTTACACACAGTCGGCTGAAGCCTCCACAATGGGATGTGTTTGGTGGTGGTTGTTTGGGGGGTTCCGCGTCTTTTTGGGGCTTCAAAGACCCCCCTGGAGAAGTGAAAGTCCCCTGGAGGGCGTTGGGTCTGGCATTTCACGTCCAGCGTTCCATTCCTCGGATTTTTATGTAAATTCTCAGCTTCCGGGCTTTTGGAACGTTGCCACCGCTGGAAAATGAAAGTTTTTTGATATAGTCGACAGTACTTCCTCGAAAACACCGTTAATCCTATTACGCAATCAAATGTTGGATGCACCGCACCATCGGAAGTAGCTGTAAAATCGCGGAAAAATCGCTAATACCCATGAGTTAGTGGCTTACACTTCAACTAGTATACCAAGTCTCTCTCGCACCCGCTCTCTCTCTCTCTCTCTCTCTCTCTCTCTCTCTAGCTCTCTCTTTGCCTAATTTTCGCAGCCGATGATATCCCAAGAAGCCGGGACTGAGGCGCGAAAATTCATTCCTTTCCCATAGGACGCATTTTTCTGTCGTCAATCGTGTACACTTCCGTGATCACTTCCGTGATTACGGCATAATTTTTTATCAATTTCCAGCGTCGCGCCATGTCTGGAACTGCAGAATTCGGGCGGAAAGCGTCGGTGACGGCGGCCGTATTCTTGTCGATCGTCGGAATGTGCCTCTCAATCGCCGCCATTCTCACGCCCAGCTGGCAGGTACAAATTAGAGACCAAAACACTTTGGATGTGATGTTTGCTGTACGATACCATACGCTACCTTACGCACGCATATTGCCGTACGGTATATTGGGCTGTAGTAGGACTCAGTATGAAACAATACGCTTCCAGGTGGTCAACCTACGAGAGTACGGCTCAATCCATGAGCACGGTCTCTGGCTCGACTGTACGAGGCATTCCAGGGACGGCGGCACGCCGATTCTGATGAGGTTGGTTTGGGTTACGGTAGCACCGGGTATCGTGTACTACGTAGCTTTACTCACTACCATACCTGTAAAGTAAATCCAGCAAAAAACCTTTTGAATATTACATAGCACGTAATTTGGTGCCCAATGTAGCCCGAAAATTTGTCCGTAAAGCCCATGCGTACAGTGCGCGGAGGCGTAAATAGGACAGTAGCGTACAGTCAGTGTGTTATTACAGTGCGGTGTGTATCGTACTCAAATACTTCCTCCAGATACCGTACCATCACCGAGCCGCTTCACTGCGTCTACAAGTTCGACTACGACAAGTACTCGGGAACTTTTGACCAGGAGAATGACAACAGTCCCGTTGGGGAGGTCAATCGGCATAAGTTCTACGGTAAGTTCAAGTCCAAGTCAAGCTTAAGCCAGCTCTTAGCCTAAGCCTAAGCCTAACTGAAGTCTAAGCCCAATCCTAAGCAGGGGCCTAGTTTTCCATATTTTAACGGTGTTTACAGTACTTGTACGGAATTTTAATGGTGCTGAGTCACCGAGTAGTAGAAACAGGTTTCGGGTGAGTCACGGAGGGAAAAGAAGGAGAGGAGCAAGAAGTGGCTGGGAATGGGGTGCATGACCCATTTTGAGGATCCCTACCAAAGCAGAGCGAGAGAGAAGGAGAGAGAGCGACTCTCGCGCACGATTAGCCCCCGGGCCGCTTTGTCCCATTCAGTAGATATACCCACACATTCAGGGGTGTAAAATGGAGAGTGAGGGCGAGTGAGGATAGACCGTGTGGGAAGGGAGCATGAATTAAAGGGGGGGGGGGGCACAAATCAGCCGCCTGGCCTGAAAATGATCCTAAAATCCTCATATACTAAAACCCTGTTTTCAGGATGGCACACCTTCACGATGGTCGTCCTGTTCATCGCCATCCTGACCACGTTGCTCTCGTCGTTCTTAGGGGCCTGCTCATGCTGCTACGGCACGATTTCGATTGTCTTCACCGCAACAACACTCCTTACAAGTCAGTGCTGCTATCGTAGTCGTTTATCAAAATTGTTCCACAGCATTCCTATCGTCGGTGGCCACCGGGGTGTTCTTCTTCTACTCCCATCGCACCGATAATCGATTCATCAAGGGAATCGTCGGTACTTATGAGGTTAGATTTTTCTAAAAACTTGTTGCTAGGCCCAAGCCTAAGCCAAGACTAAGCCTACGCCTAAGCAGAACCCTAAGCGTCCCTTTACCTTTCAGCAACGCGTCGGACTTGCCTTCTTCCTGCAGCTGGCCGCATGCTTCTTCCACTTCTTCTCATTTTTGGTAAGTTTTAAAGGAGCAGATTTCTCTAACTCTCTCTCTCTCTCTCGCTCTCTATCTCGTTCTCTCTCCCTCTCTCGTTCCCGCTCACTCTCTTACTATCTCTCTCTCTCTCTCTCTCTCTCTCTCTCTCTCTGATCTATCTCTCTTTTCCAGGCTGCTATGTTCTTCACCTACATGGCCATGTCCCAAAAAGACGTCGACGGTGAGGATTTCTCCCTTCAGCGCAGCAGCCGAACGAACGTCACCAACATTGGCCGGTAAGTGTCACCGTGCCTTTAAAAGATTTTCCTTATCCCAGTTCGATGGAGTTCGACCCGATGATGTACCCCCCAGCCACCCCGCAGAGCAATGTTCGTCCATTCATGAGCAAGCACGAGGAGTATGAGAGACATGTAGGTATTTGTGGATTTGTCTTCAATGGCCCTTTAAAAGGATAGAATCGGCCAAATCGTTATGGATTTTGGCATCTTGATTTTTAGGGGGAAGACAAAGAAATTAATGGATTTTAGACTTTAACGGATTTTTAAAGGGATTGGCAAAGCAAAAAACTATGGATTTTGTCTTCAAGGGACCTTTAAAGGGACCGGGAAGGCAACGAAGCCAAAAAAATCATGCATATTTACGAATTTTTCAGGTTGCCGAAAGCATGCCCGAGCTGGGGATGCAACGGGCCGCCGCCTACCCAGGCGAGCTGATTCCGACGCGAATCCGGAGAAAGAGCGAAACCTGTGTCTAGACCCAGATTTCACCCCTTCACAACTCACTTTCACTTCCCTTTAAATCGATTTAAACTGACATTCCAGCCGATTTTAACAAAAAAATATCTTCGACCGTTGGCCGATTGGTAGTGGGCTAGCCCGCCGCCCGCCAGGCCCGGGTTCGACCCTCACCCGCGACCAATATTTTGCTTTTTGCCCCAACACTGCCCAATTTTGACTTTCTTGCATTTTGCTTTCTTTTTGTGTGTTTCCTGATCGCTCAGCCTGACCTCGCTGCCCTCCATTTTATACCGTGCCTTCCCCCATCTACCGTAACCCTCAGGAACGGATTTGTCATTTTTGCGTTTGTTTTCTGGGATACGGTAGCCCAAAAATTCGATAGAAAATCGGCTACCGTACCCCGTTATTTGCATAATTTATCTCTCCCGCCAGCCGCTTGCTCCCCCATTTTGCCCCGAATATTGCCAAGTGTGTACAGTGGTGTTTCATGGAATTACTTTTTCGGATTGCTTTTGTGAATTTTTGTCTACGTTTGGTTGTGATTTTGACGCCGTTTTTCTGTCTGAGTGTCTTGGAGATAAAGAATTATGGAATTTTTGGGGGTGATGGAATTTGGTGTACAGCGTACTCTAACGGAATACCCTAACGAGTACAAGCTTTCCTAGTGACACTGTTGGTATGATAGTGTTAAAGGAACGGAGATCCTGATAATGTTGAGCCGGAATCAAATGCAAATTTCTTGAAAATTACTCATTCTCTCTCTCTCTCTCTCTCTCTCTCTCTATCTCTGGCTTTCTCTATCGCTGGTCCTCTCAATCTCTCTCTGCCTCCTCTCTCATGCTCATTTCCATTTCACTCCCACTTCGCAAGATCTCTCGCTCTTGCTCTCTCTCTCTCTCTCTCTCTCTCTCTCTCTCTCTCTCGCTCCCTCTGTCTCTCTCACCTTAAGGGATGATGACGTCTTAAATCTACCAGATATCGTTGACACAGTTCATATTAGCTGGTACGCTCTACTTAGACGACATACCATTATTTGACATTCCAAAGGCCGTAAACATTTTCCGCTAATCGCTACGGGACCTCTTGCCCCCGGTTGGCGGCCTTTTTTATGGCGGATACGGCCTTGAGGGGAAAGGCGCTCGTTACGGTCATTCATCCATCCCCCACACCCGACCCTCAAATCAGAACTATCCATCTCAACATCCGAGCCCTAGATACCTGCACTACGCCCACTAGGTGGGGGACCGACATTTAAAGGGGGTGGAAGGAGTAAAATGTACTGCAACCGTATCTCTATATCTCACTTTGTCTATCTCTTGCGCTTTCTCACTCTCTCTATCACTGGTTGTCTCTCCCCTCGGGCCATCTCTCTTTCACACTATCTCTCTCTCTCTCCGTCTCTCTCTCTCTCTCGCTCTCTCTCTCTCTGTCCGTCTGAATTTCTTTGAAAACCCGGCCCAAGGCATACTAGCATGGATTCTTCAGGAATGCCCGCTATTTGTTTCCGGACGATCGCTCTGTCCACAATGCTCCATACAATACGCCGCGGGGCTATAAATCTGTCGTCGGAAAGCCCGTTTTCGCGCGAACACGCGCAGCTTTGTATGTGGAGGGAGGCTTTGTACGATTTACTGCTCAAATCTTCTCTCTTTCTCTCCCTCTCTCTCTGGTGCTCTCTCCGCCTCTCTCTATCACTTCCTCTCACCCCCACTAGCTCACGGATCCACTCTCTAGCTCCATATCTCTCTCTCGCTCTCTCTCGCTCTCTCTGGCTCTCTCTCACTCTCTCTGGCTCTTTCTCTCGCTCTTACTCGCTCTCTCGCTCTCTCTCGCTCTCTCTTCCTCTCCCTCGCATCTCTCTTGCTCCTTCGCGTGCTCACTCTCCAAAAATATCGAAAACAAGTTGCATACTCCCCCACCAGGCGAACGTCAATATTTTGCCATTCCCGTGCCAAGAAATTCGACCTTGATTTCCAAGACCCATGCGATCCGTTTCTGCCTTCCAAGTTCCTTTAAACTCTCCCAAAATACTCCTCGAACCCTCTCCCTCCACCCATTGTTAGCGGCGACCCAAATATTGGTGCGTGGAGGCCGAAAATTAGGCACCCCGGCTCTGACTCACCGCCCCACCTGGATCGATCCCTTTAGAGGAGGGTGAAGCTCCGCCCCTTTCCATTTCCAGACCCTCCCTAGCACCATTCCGAGGGAATTCAAATGACGGCCGGGGCGCCTAGGGGGAAGGAGAATGACCTTGAAACGTCGTCGACTCGCCCCGATAGTCGGCTGGCCTGTATTTGTCTGCTGTGCCTTCTATCCGGGCGCTGTATATTGCACACACGCACCAAATCCTCATTCCGCTCTTGTTCGGTTTTATGGATTGGCGCGGAGCCAATTTTTGAAAAGCATTTTTAGAAACAGTCTAAATTTTAACTTCTTTCATCGAGGGATGCCCTTGGATTTCATTCCGATTCTGACCATTCGATGGATGATTGATTACGATATCTTTACGTTGTCTGCTTTCTCTCCCTCTCTCTCTCTCTCTCTCTCTCTCTCTCTCTCTCTCTCTCTTCTCCCTCGCTCTTTCGCTCTCACGCTCTCTCTCACTCTCTCTCGCTCTCTCGATCTCTCTCTTTGGGAATTTTTCATGTAATTTTTCTTCCTACACCTGTTAATTACAATTCGAAAAATCGACATACGCGGGCTTTCTTGGCTGTCCCAGTCCCTTCAAAACTTCAATTAATGCGCATAGTCGCCGGAATTCGGCCTTAAATGAGCTCTGCTACATGGCCCAAGTCTAATAAATGGCTTCTAACACATATTAATACGATTTTTAAAGCATTACGTCCCCTAACTTGCTCGTCTTTCAATCCCTCCACCAGCCAGCACCAATTCGTCGGTCAAAACCATTTCCCCTACCCTCTTTCTCCTCCCATTCTGACCTCCATGTGATGATTGGTACTTTCCCCAGACCACCCGCTGTCCTCAAGGCATTAGCGGAATCGGGCTGACTAGAAAATTTAGTGCCCTGAAGTGTGCTTGACAACTACATTGCGTAAGGATTAATACGTTATGCTACGTTACGCTATGCTACGTGCAGTCCTATATACGACACTATGATTCGTTGGGTTCGCGATAGTACGATACGCTACCAGGGGCGTAGCCAGAAAAAAATTTCGGGGGGGGGCCCGACAAAATTTTTCCGAAAACTCAAAAAATGAACGAGAAAACAGAGCCGCAGGCAAAAATTTTTTGAAAAAAGGCTATATAGCTCTACAAATAGCAGTAAAAACGTGTAAAAATAGCGCCGGAGGCAGAAAAATTTTTGAGAAAATAAAAAACATAAGGGTCCCCCCTTATGAAATTTTCGGGCCCCGGCCGATTTCGGGGGGCGGGCCCAGGGGGCCCACCTTACGCTACGTCCCTGTACGCTACGCTACGTTGCGTTCCGGTACGCCACGCTCCGTTGTGTTACTCTAGGCAGCGCTACGTGAAGTTACTTCCGTAGTGATGCCTAGAGTAACACAACGGAGCGGAAACTTCAGCTCAGCTACGTTGCTTAATTTGTAATGACTATACGCTACGCTGCGTCAGTTTGCGCTCTTTTGTGCTCCGTCACGTCGGATTGACCGTATCCAACGTCGTTTCGACATACGCAAAGTTACCTTACGCTACTTTACGCGCAAATTACATGTGTACGTCACGACGAGCCCCGTTATTTTGCCTACGGTTGCGCTACGCTACGCAAAACGCTCAATAGCGCGATTAAACCGATTGGATCCAAGCATTCAAAACCCCTATAAAACGCCAGCTGGTTTCCATCCCATCCAAGACGAAAAACCTCCTTCCTGCCGATTTGACCTTCGTTTTTGGCCCGTTTTCTTAGGGGCGTTGCCTACCCTTTTGTCGCCCATTTTTTCACAGGTTCCCATGGGGTTCTGTGCGCGGCGCGCGAAAAAAGTGATATTTTCGGTTTTCGCGATCCGGCCGATCCCTCGATAGGTGGACGTTGCCGTGAAAATAAAAAAAATCGTATTTATCGGATTCCACAATGTTCCACTGCTATTTTGTTTCGATTTTCCACAAATTTCCTTTGTTAGCCAGCCCTCCATTTTCCGCAAAATTCCTCTGCTAGTTTGCCTCGAATTTTCAAAAATTTCCTTTGCTAGCCAGCCGTCTATTTTCCTCCAGTTTCCCAGGCCTCCCTCCCCGCATTTTCCGCAACTTTCCGCTGCCAGTCCACCCTTTCGTCAAATTTTCTTTGCTAGCCTACCCTCCATCTTCTGCAAGTTTCCTCTGCTAATATGCCCTGCATTTTCCTCAAATTTCCTCTGCTAGCCTGCCCCTTTTCAGACGAATCGTCACATGTTGCAGCCCCGGTTATGAGACGAAGCGACAAATCAAAAGACGGCAATTCTAGAGCTACAAAAATAATTATCGCAAGTAATGTCCGGCTACGGTACCTCGAGGCTTAGCAGAAAGGTGAGTTAATCGATTATGCCATCAAAGTACGTAGTTGCAATTTGATGTAGTTTGTAGTCTACGATTTTTTAACTATAAAAGTTGTTTTTAGATAGCCCTCAGCGTCTTTTTCCTCGTCGAAGCCGTCGCCTTCACCCTTGCCCTGCTCGCCCTCCTCAGCCCCACCTGGCAATACGTGTATTTGGAGGTGATTTTTCGTTCGGAATTCCGCAAATTTCCTGTGCTAGCATGCCCTTTCAATGACTTAAATGTGTATATAAATACGATTAGAATTGTGTTTTTAGAACGGTCACGCTGAGCATCACCACGGGCTGTGGCTGGACTGCGTCCGGTTCTATACCTTCGTCTACGGCGATAAGGGCGAGAACGTGCAGAGCAACTGGAAGTAGGTCGTTTTTCAGGGTTGAGCCTAAGCCTAAGCCAAGCCAAAACAAAGCCAAGCCGCCTAAGCTCGTGCCAGAGCTCAAGCCCAACTTAAGCTCACGCCTAAGCCTATACCTAAGCCCAAGCCGAAGCCAATGCCTAAGCCCAACCTAACAAAGATTCCAATTTTAGACGTGAGCTGGAGAACACACCGTTCGCGCTGTTCAACCTGCCGGAGTTAAGCTGCGTCTACAAGTTTGACTACTACATCGACCAGGAGGATCTCTACGACCACAACCACGACGAGAATCGCATCGAGAATGACGCGTGGCAGCACCTGTTTTTGGGCAAGTTTGGGATAAACGTGAGACTGATCGATTACGCGATGAAAATGCGTGTTTTCCGTCCGCGGAAAGTTCTTAAAGACTCTAGAGTCATGCCTTGTCCGTCTTTTTAATTTTCAAACGGGGCAAGCTAGCCGAGATCTTTTAGGAATTTAACTTCTTCCTTGACAATACTGTTTTCAGGCCACAAGATAGCGACTTTATGTGCAGTCGGCGTCGCTTGGGCATTTTCATTTGCCTCACTTCTGGTCGGCATCTGCTCGTTCTGCCATCGGACGTTCATCTGCGCCTCCACGGTGCTGATCACGATGGCTGGTGAGTGACAAAGGGTCTCTGCTAGTTATAGAGTTCCAGGTGTTGATTTTTCATTTTTGGTTTTTCGACCCCGTGCATTCGCCTATTAATGCGTATTTTGTTGCCAAATGGTCTTTACTAGCATGCCAGGCTTCGATTTCCCCCTCCCTAGCCATCTAAGGCTCTCATTAATGCGCTCCAGGCTCAAAAATTTCGCTCACATTTTCTGTGCTAGCTTGCCCTTGTTCTGCTCCTTTAAGCCGTCTATTAATGCGTAAATTGTCCAAAAATCACGCTTGAATGGTCGCTGCTAGCTTATCGGAATAGAATTTCCTCTTTTACTCGACCTCAAAAACTATCTATTAATGCGTAGATGTCCAAAATTGAGTCATAACGATTCTTTCAGCCTTCTTCTCGTCGGTGGGCACCACGGTGTTCTACATCTGGGCCAACTACCAGGAGAACAAGGTGTTCAAGGAGGAGGACATGGAAGACTACGAGGTAAGCATGTCCACACATTAATAGTATTTTTTGTTTTTTTTTCAGCAAGAATTCGGGTGGGCGTTCCACTTCCAGTTCATCGCCTCCCTGCTGCACTTCATCGCGTCGTTCCTCGGCTGCTTCGCCACGTCGTTGGCCTTCAGAAAGGGCCGGGCCAAGCTCGTCAAGATTGAGGTGCGTTCATTGAAGTGGCGTGTAGTTCAAGCGGTTCAGGTGGTTGAGGGAGAAGAGGAGTCCCCGCTCGCCTCAAATACCCATCTCTCCACGACGACACAACCCTTTAAACGATCGTTTTCGGCGATTTATCGGTATTTAATTTTAATACAAAGAGAATCATCACAAAGATATCTTAATTTTATATATTGAAAATTTTGGTTTTTGTGTTTTAAAAACCTCGAATTTTACAACCAAATTTTAAAAATAATTTTAGGGTCGATTCTGAGGCGTTGCGGAACTGGGAGCGCGATTATATGAAGAACCACAAATCCGAGGTAGTCGACGCATTAATAGACATTTTAAAGGGACAGGCTAGGCAGAGAACCAAGCCGGGCACGCTAGCAGAGATCATTTGGGCCGAATTTTGACCCTGTGCGCGTTAATGGATGCCTTAAAGGGACCGGAAAGTCACGAAGTGGAGTGGGTAGGCTAGCAGAGAGAATTTGGGGAGAAAAAGTGAAATTAAGGTTTTGGCGGCCCTCTAAAGGAGCGCGGAACGGATGAATCCAGAGGGGGCAAGCTAGCAGCTACCACTTGGGACTAATTTTCGGGATCTTCGTGCATTAACGGAAGCTTTCAAGGGCCGTGCATGCAATAAACCAGCTGGCAGGCTAGCAGAGGTCATTTGAGAGGCTTTTAATGGGACCAGGAAGCCTCCATAGCAATTACATACACAATTTCTCTAGACCACAAACTTCAAGCGCACGGCGTCGGTGCCGAACTTGACGAAAAAGCAGCGGAAGGCGATGCAAAAAGTTGGTCTTAAGAATTTTTTGATTTTAAAGGGATTGTGACATCCGATATTGACCTTGTCCCTACCCCTTTAAAACAATTCCTAGGCGCAGCGCGACGCGGCACGATCGCAGGACTTGATCTTCACGTCGACGAGCAATATTCTGTCGGAAAGGACCGAGACGACAGGTCGGGGATTTAATGCTGTGATCGGTAATGCCCAAAAATTACGCGTTACACCCATTAACACGACATTTTTAGGGGCCAGCAATACCCTGGAGAGTCGAAGGGATTTACGACAATCTCCGCAGCTCCCCACGGCCATGACGCCGAAGGTAAGGGGTTTAAAGGGGCTGGGAAGCCCGAGGATCTACCCATAAAATCCACTATATCTCACAGAATACGCCAATTTTGGACGGCAACCACTTTTAAAGGAGATAAAAACGCGAGAATCGACCCTTGAAGTTGACTAGATCTGGACGATTACGCAATGCACCAAATTACGCATGCAAAGACTTCTAAAGGGATTGGGGGGCTTTGAAGCGGCCTTCTCTTTTGACTGGGTGCAGATAAGAACGCAACGCAGCAAATTACGGTCCGGAGATGCTTTTAAAAGGGCCGAAAAGAGCAAAAAGCTACCCTTGCCGATGACCTGCCGTTGACGCGCCCGCTTACGCTCCGGAAACGCTTTTAAAGGGGCTGGGAAGGGTGCAAATCACCCCTGTAGCATGATTGGGTATCGACACCTGGGCAACGCACCAAATCACGGGTGGATTAGACAGTTATAAAATTTCCCACTTGCCTTGGTGTACCTGTCGAGACCTAGCGATGGAAGGGGTAGATTTTAGGGCACTTCCCAGTCCCTCTAAAGACCACAGAAACCCAAATTTTTCAGTCAATCATGAAGAAGTCGACGCAATCGTTGGCGATAACGAGCCAACGGGTCGAGCCCACGTATGAATATCTGCCCGGCCCCGCCCCCTCATCCATCGCCCTGTCCACGTTCAAGCCGCAGAGGTACAGCTTTTTGGGGGAGTGCAAGCAGCGATTCTTGCGGAAATCTGGAAATTCTTCAGATTTCGATGGAGATCTCTGCTAGCCAGCCTCTTAAACCCCAAAAATTGCAGAGACTCGCCAGCGTCAAGTGTACGGTATGACTCGGTGTACGAGACGCTACCCGGTGACAACTACGAGGAGCCAAACTCAACGCTCAAAAAGCGCCTCAGCAATTCGACGATCGGCGATGATCCGGTTAGGAGAGGTGGGGCAGGGTTACGGTAGATGGGGCAAATTTCGTTATAGCATTGTTGCCGACGATGCCTTCTGTATCCGGGTCGGCACAGTCGATTCCGACGCCCAGGACCACCGTAATCGATGACGTGGCGCCGCGGAATTCTACCTCACAGGTACGCTAGGTTACAAATTACGCTATTTGGGGTACGATAGAGTTCAAAGCAAGTTTTTGACTACGGTAAATATAAACTAAACACGCTGCTACTTTAGGCTACAAATGACGTTTTTAGTACGTTAGGCTACAAATTACACTAATTTACCTTTTTTGGGTACGGTAGAGTACGCAACACATTTTGGTACGCTTTTTGCACGCCACAAAGTACGCTTTTTGGGCTATGGTACCCTAGAAATTACTTTTATGAGTACTGTGGGATACAAATTACAACCTACGGGGTACGGCATATTCCAAAACCCTTTTTGGGATACGGTATTGACTCCATATCACAGCATTTCGCCCCAAAAACACCTTTATTCGCAGGGCCGCCCAAAAATACATCAAAACCGGGGGAAATATGGGGGATTCCGTGGCGCTCCAGTATACGGTGGTGGGAGAAATCGTTCGGGTTGTCGGGCGGAATCCGGCGGATTAGTGCAGCAGACGAGCGATGGCATCCTGGAATGGATGGTGGATAGCTAGTAGGGATTTTTGGGGAAAATTTACCGCAAGGGATGAGGCGGAGCGGACGGGCTTCTGGTCTTCGGGCTGATCGCTGGACTGCTTGTTGATGAAGGCCAGAGCACCCTAGAGGAAGTGTAGGTTACTGTAGTCTGGACGTTACGCTACGCTACTCCACGCTACGGGTCATCGCACCGTATTCTACCACACTAGTACGCCGTAATGACACGTACGCAAAGCTACGCTGCACTCCTCTTTACACAGCATTACACTGTACTACACTTTACGCTGAACTTCTCCGTTTCCTACGAGTGTGTACGCTACGTTACGCTACGACTCGCGCCTACGCTAGGCTCCGCTGTACGATGCCGTACACTTCACTCCTCCTCAGTACGCTACGTAATTCTTTAGTGCGCGACCGCCCCTCTTGCGCGACGCTTCTCTGAACACTACGCTAGACTCCTCCTCACGCTCACCGTCACTTTGAAGCCGTCGGCGCTGCGGCGCTTGCGCGTCTTCGAGTCGGCGTCGGCCTTCCAGCCGCTCGGGTTCCACGAGATGTAGCGCTAAAGTCAACGTTTTACCCGGATTTTTACGATTCCGAAATGGTCTCTGCTAGCCTGCCCCTCACCGCATAGGCATCCATGACGTCCTGCTGATCGGCCCGCTCTTCCTTGGTCATTGGCTGCTCGGGGATGCGGACCTGCAAAAAATGCGTACATGTGAATACATAAGCGTAAGCCGAAGCTTACGTCTAAGCCAAGCCTAAGCCTAACCCTGAACCTAAACCACCTTACCGGGTCAATCTCCTCCTCCTGAATGACGGGATTGGGCAGGGAGCGCGCGGGCCGAACGATGTCCACCGGTTCGGCCGTGAGCTTCTCCTCCTTGGCCTCGACGTGATCATCTCCATCAATGTTCATCCCAAGGTGGCGGCCGACATATTCGATCGGCTCGAGAATCGGGTCGACGAACGCTTTGCGGAGGACCTGTGGTCGTTTAAAGGGGGAGTGACAGCAAGGTATACCCTCAACGAGGCTTTAGCCTTGTCCTCCATGGTGCTGTCGCGTTTCAGGCGGCGGTTTTCCTCGATGATCGAGCGCATGATCTGATAAGGAGGATTTCCGAAAGGGATTTCGGCTAGCCCTCCCTAAGGGTCTCTGCTAGCCCTCCTCAATGGTCTCTGTTAGCTTGCCTTGAACGGCATCGGCTCCACCATGTCGAGCACCACGGGCAACGCCTCCATCGCCTCCTCCTGGACGACAAAGTTCTACAGCTAGCACCTGCGGCCTACAGTAACCCCTCGCTTCACACGCTTCCTCGGCTCATCGGCCGCGCGTCGCTCTTCAGCATCTTCAGGGTGAGGATGAGCCGGCTGAAAAATTGCCAGTATCTACGCGAACCCCAAAGGCGTATTGTGTCGTATGATAGTGTAGTGTCCGGTAGCGTAACTTATCGTACCGTAATGTAACGTATCGTTGTGTATCGTACTAAGCCTTTTGTTGCGTTGCGTACTGTACAGTCTGTTTGTAGCATGGCTTGACGTAGCCTAGCGTACTTTCAGGATTTGTGACAAGATCTCGGTGCCAGGGGCAAAAAACTTTATGCGAAAAGTGGGCTCGCAAAGGGGGGAGGGGGAGTGAGGGGTGGGATGATATGGTCATCTGGAGCCCTCGAGTCTGCCGTCGACCGCCCGCCCGCCCAGAAGAAGATGATCAGAGACGCACCTGATGCTCGTCGTGGAGGCGTTGCTTCACCAGGCTGGCTAGGAAAGCCTGAAATTTCAGGATTTTCAAAAGGCAAAAAATATTCCCCGGGCGGTGGTCGAACCCGGGTGGTCAGCCTGACAACCTAGCACACTACCAATCAGCCACGTTTGCATTGGCCAGTTTTTGCGAAAAATTAAGATTCCACACACCTCTGAGCGCTTCTGGCGCTCCTTCTCCTCGACGACGAGGCGCAGGGCGGTCCCGTCGACGAGCTGCCCCAGGAACCCGTCGCTGAACAGCGCGGCGACGGCGGCTGCGCGCGGGTCGCGGCGCTTGCGGGTGGTCTCCTTGGTGGGCGGGACAATGACGGGCTTGGCCAGATCAGTCTGCAATTGGGGCCGTCATGTTGAAGGAGTTCAGCAGCACAAGCTTGAACCGACGCTCAAGGCCGGATCCCGGCTAAGCTTAAGCCTATGTCCATGATCATGCCCAAGCCGAAGCTACCCCACATCAGCCTTCAGATGCGAATACTGCTTGATGAGCATGTCGAAGGTGTGGTCGAGGGCGTCGCGGATGTGGCCCTTGCGCTCCTCGAACAGCGGGCTGTTCTAAACAAAGATGACCTTCAAATACAGCGAGCATGAGCAGCACCTCGTCAGTGTTGGCCATAAAGTGGTCGACGAGCGTCTTGAACGAGGGGCCCTGGAGCACGTGCTCCAGCACGATCGGCTTCAGCACCATCGCTGAAACGTTGGTGAACATAGCATCGAGTCTTTACAAAGGATCTTGGCTAGCCTGCCTATCTCGGTACTAGACTGTTAGCGGGGGGGGGGGGGGGGTGACTAGCGTTTTTGCGACCCCAAAACGTCAAAAGTATCAATTTTAACGTGGAGTACGAAATATGTCATTTCGATTCAATTTTAAGACTTTAAACTAATTTTTAACTTAATTTGGCGAAAATTAGACATTCCTTGACCCCCCCCCCGATAATGGAAAAGGTCCAAAAACGACCAAAACGCGCCAAAAAGTGAAAAAGGCACATTTTTAAACCAGGGTTGAAAATGGGAGAGAAAATCCTGCCTCCCCCCCACTAACAGTCCAGTACCCCCTGACCCTCAGCCAGTGTGATAAAATACCCATTAAGCCTATAATACCGTAGCGCTGGTTGATGAAGGTGGGGAAGGGGATGTGCTCCTTGTCGGCGAGCACCTCGAGCTGCAGATCACGATCGGGATTCTTGCGGTTGGGGTCCTTGGTGGTGGGGTTCGGGTTGGGCCCCGGGGGGGTTGGGCGCCGGCGGACCGGGCACGGGCGATGGAGGAGGGGTGGGTGCTGGTGGGTCTTGGGCCAGAACGGCCATCGCCACGCACAGGCACACGCTCAGCACGCGCAGGAGAGACATCTGCAATCGGAACTTTGCTTTTGGGTACAAGAGCAAGCTCAGTTTTTAGGCTAAGCGGAAGCCTAAAAAAGCCTAAGAAAGCTTAAGCCTAAGCCTAAGCTTAAGCCCATTCCTAAGCCTAAACCGAAGTCGAAGTCGAAGCCGAAGTCGAAGCCTAAGCAAGCCTGAGCTTAAGAAAGCCAAGTCCAAGTCTACGCCTAAGCCTTAGCCTAAGCAAGCCTACGCCTAAGATAAGCCCAACCCCAAGTCGCAACCTAAAGCTAAGCCTGCTAAGCCCAGCCTAGCCTATCCGAAGTCGCCTGTGGGGCAAAAAGCAAAAAGAAAGCTGCGGCTAGGGATCGAACCCGCATGCCAAAGCCTAAGCCAAAGCCTAAGCCTAAGCCTAAGCCTCAGCCAAGCCCAAGCCTGAACCCACCTGTCAAGTTGTACTCGGAAGAAGTAAATAGAACCACCACCCCAATTTTTCTTTTCAATTGGGAACCCATTCAATTTCGGGAGCATTTCCGGATTTAAATAGAATAAAAATTCAACTTTTGGAGGAAATTTAAAGTTACCATGCATTCAAGCACTATATTTAAAGCAGTATCCAAATCTCCAGGAGCTGCTCTCGATCCGGGAGCGCATCGAGCGCGAGGAGAAGACGATCGAAGAGCTGAGGCGGCGGAGGCAGATGCGCGAAGCCGCCGACGCCGCCAAGAAGTCGACGTTCGATGCGCAGACGAGCACGGATAAGGATACGGTACACAATTTTTGATCAGAATGTGGCAGCAGATAATTTTAAAATTGCAGCGCGTCTAAATATCATAATTTCGAAATTTCCTAAAAACGGAAATTTTACAACTTAAAATTGAACGTTTGACACGATTCTGACGCATTTTTCGAAATTTGGAGAATGGGTGCACTTTCATTAGCGCGAGGGTTCACTTTGGGACCCAATCCTCGCCCCCCCCCGTTAATGAACCAGCACCAAAAAAAGCTCAGGCAGGCTGTCCGGAGTATCTGACCGGAAATTTGACATTTTCTTGATCAACAAATTCCAGTCGGGGGCCTCGTTGTCGATTCGGGACATTGGCATATCGTTACGTTCTCCGCAGAAGGGCTATGCGGCCATTGGGCACACGACAACCATCGGGTTGGATAGGTTCGTACCCTATTTGTTTTATTTTTACTATCTATCATTTTTGTTTGTTTATTACGGTAGGCGGATACTGTGGCTCGGCTGTTACATTTCGGCATTTGTAGAATGTGTAGCCGGGTTACTGTAGCTTTCGACTACGTTGTGATACTCGCCTGTAATAACGAATTCTTTGCAGGAGCCAACCACCGCTGCCGACTACGCGTCCGCCCCCCACTCCGCCAAAGGTATGTGATTTTTTTTACGATCGTGAGCTACCGTAGTTGGTTGTAGTCTGTAGTCTAGCTTTTTTTTTGACGAGGTAGGCTACCGTAATGAATTTTAATGCGAATTAGAAGCGATCTAACCGCTTGATAACGGCCAAGAACTTCGCGGAATCACTACTGTATTCGTTGTAGTTTGTAGTTGTAGTTTGTAGTCCAGTTTTTTTAGACGATTCAAATACAGTAGTCATGTTAAAAGGGACTGCGAAGTCTAAAAATACTAATACGCTAATAACGGAATGCCTAGCGTAATTGGTTGTATTTTGTAGTCTAGCCATTCTTACAATCGCTTATACCGTAATCTACTCTAAAGGCGCTTGGAAGCTAGTTTTAAGGCATATTTTTCAGCCCCCCAGCCTCGATGAGACTTCCCGTTCCCCGTCCACCATCCAAATCAACACGTTCGGCGAGGGACAAACCCGGAGGTTCGCTGGTTTTTCCCGCCCCGATCCCCGAGTAGCTTTGAGGGTTCCCCTAAAAGAAAAAAGATAACCTAGCGGCTACGTATGACAACAATGCCCTCCCATCAATTATAGGTCCGTGACAAACCTGGCAGCTGTAAGGGACGGCCATCAGGGAAGTGCCTCCGAACTGTTTCATCGACCAGAATCATCCATTTCTACATCCACCACAAAGACACAACCAGCACATCGAAGGCTGTTGAGTGTTATACCGGATGAGGTTGGTGCGAGAGAGAGAGAGGGAGAGGGGGAGGGAAAGAGAGGGAGAGAGAGAGAGAGAAAGAAAGAAATAAGTGAGAGAGCTAGCAGTGATCCTGCAGGATATCGCTTTTATAGGAAAAACAAAATAGAAATAATAAAGTTCTGTGGCAGACCAGCAAAGGAAATGGGGGGGGGGGGGGAATTTGCTGAAAAGAGCAATCTAGCAGTGATCCTTGAGGAATGGGGCTTCTGGCAGAGATGTTTGAGGATTCTTAGCAAGCTGGAACTTTTCAGGGTTGTTCTAGAAGGTTTTTTCAGCAGGGATTCTCTCTATCTCGCTAACTCTCTCTCTCTCTCTCTCTCTCTCTCTCTCTCTCTCTCTCGCTGTCTGACTCTCCGTACTTCTCCATTTTCTTCTTAACATTTTTGCCTATCCCGTCCCAGGCAGGCTAGCACCGATTTTTTGGGAACCTACCAAGCTCCGTTCGACTCCAACGAACACCCAGCCCAAGGGCATGTTGTTGTTATTTTTGGCACGTCTCCCCTGTTTCGATCACCTGGCATTAGTGCCCCAACCCCCCATTCATCAGTGTGAAGGCCCTTGAAAGTGCATTACCTCGAGGTGATACCCGGAAGTTTCAACAACCCCCGAAAGAATGACAACGCGCAAAAACAATCGGTGCACTAATGTTTATTCGGTGGGCCATGAGGCGCCAGGGCTTGGCGGGTTTTTTTTTTGAGGTAGCTTGTCAAGAGGGTGACTTGTTTTCGGGGGGAAATCTTGGGGTTAAGGTTTGGTAAAACGATAAGTGATGGAAAGAGAGAAGGAGAGAGAGAGAGAGAGAGAGAGAGAGAGAGAGAGAGAGAGAGAGAGAGAGAGAAAGAGAGCAAGGATAAGTTTTTCGAGGGGCGAGTAATGAAAAAATTTATTAGTTAAGCAAAATCCCTCTCCAACCCTCCCTCTCTCTCTCTCTCTCTCTCTCTCTCTCTCTCTCTCTCCGTATCTCCCACACACTCACTCTCGCTCACTCGCACCCGCTCTCTCTCGTTATCGATCTCTCTCTAACTCTTTTTCTCTCTCTCTCTCTCTCTGTCGCTCTCTACGTCTTTTTCTATCTTGCTCTCTTTATCGATCTCTCTCTCTCGTTCTCTCTCTCTCTCTCTACGTCTCGCTCTCCGTCAAAATCCGCTCAGAAAATGGTCCAAAATTTTTGCCATCTAAATTCTACCGTACCCCATTCCAGGTGGATCGTTCGGTCGGCTCTTCCACCCTTCTCGATAATGACTACATGGGCCATGCCTCATCTACCGCCTCAACCTATGCCCGGGATGCAGAAGTTCGGTTGAACCTGTTCATGAACGACCCCGGCAAAGAGTCGGAGACTACTGTATGAAGCACAACAGTCCCTATCCATTAATGCTCAAAATAAGTGTATACCTTTCTCCGGCTACCTCAACTCGATCCCACAACTTTCAAGCTTTCACCACTATAACATGACCCCAATTTTTCTCACTTGAAAATCTTCCATATCGGGTGCCCCGTCGCTTGACCTCGCACTAATGGGGGTGCCGAATATTTTTTGCGAGTTTTGAGGCAATGTTAATAGGTGTATTTCGTACCGGGTAATAGATTTTAAAGACTGAATTTTGGGGCAATCCTTAGGCTTGGGCGTAGGCTTGGCTTAGGCTTAGGCTTAGCTTAGGCTTAGGCTTTGGCTTAGACCTAGGCTTAGGCGTGGCTTAGGCTTAGGCTTAGGCTTTGGCTTTGGCTTAGACCTAGGCTTAGGCTTGGCTTAGGCATGGCTTAGGCTTAGGCTTGGCTTAGGCTTGGCTTAGGCTTATGCTTAGGCTTAAGTTTCCAGCCGGAAACGACAAAATTCAAGAATTCCTTGCTGCCGATAGGTGTATTTCGTACACTCGCGGTTCTGTTAAGCTCCTATTGACACCGAAATTTTAATAACTCCTAACTTAAGCTTTAAAAATTTCAAAAAAATATTCTGCCTCCCCCACCCCGCCTCGACTACGCAACTTTCCGATGATCGCCTGGTGCCTTTTTTGGATTTTAAAGGGACGTGATAGGGTAATATTTTGACGCCGATTTCTCAGGCCCTGTCACCCTCCCTTTAACCGGTGGATTCCAGGGATTTAGCTAATTTTAAAGCTTAAAAGCAGGCAAAACGGCTTGAAATTTGCATACCTTGGAAACACCAAAATTACTACTGTACTTTTACGTTTTGCTGCTTTTTTGTGTGTGTTTTTTCTTTGTCATACTGTATTTCAATTGCAAAATAAAGCTACACTAATTTATTCAAAAAAAGTCCATGACGTTGCTTTGTACAGACACGACCAGATTTCATTTAACGGGGGGAGAGTCACCGGTTTTTCGTGGGGTTTTCGATTTTAGGTTTTTGATTTTTTTGTGGGAAAATTTAAGGACAAAAACTACAAAAACAGCACAGAATTCAGCACAAACAATTTTGGAAAAGACATCAGAAAATCAAAGAAAATTTAGTTCCATTTCAATCCTCCATCCGGCCGTTCAGCTTGTCCACCTTTTCCTGCATCGAGGTGAGGGCCAGCTCGCTGTCGTCTTGCCCTGAAAACATTTGTTTGTTCATTTAAAGGGGCGGCGGGTAAGCGGAAAATAGGGATTTTCGCAAAAAAAAAAACGGCCGATCAACTCGTGGCTAATTGGTAGTGCGCTAGGCTGCCAGGCACACGACCAGGGTTCGATCCCGCCGGTGAGAATTTTTTTGCTTTTTGAGCCAGAGACCGGAAATCATTTATATAAGCAAATTAGCTGATAGCCGGATGGTAGCACGTTCGGCTGCCAGGAGAACGAGACAAGTTCGATTCCGCCGGGGGTAAAACTTGCTTTTTGCCCGGGGGTTAGGAAATCGATCGCTCTTTCGAATTTTCCTAAGCCTAATGAAGCGAAAGCCTAAGCCTAAACCAAGTCTAAGCCTAAGACAAAGCCAAAGCATAAGAGTACGACTAAGTTTAAGCCCAAGCCCAAGCTCGTACCTAAGTCTAAGCCTAGGCCTAAGCCAAAACCAGGCGAAGCCCAAGCCAAACCTAAGCCTAAAATTGATGAGCCAAGGCCAAGCCTAAACACAAACCAGACTTACTTGTAAGAATCTCTATCTGCTTGTACTGCCTCCTTATCTTGCTCTTCAACGCCCCGTTCTCATCTCTCAACCCCTCCAACTCGTGCATCACCTGTCGATACTCGTGCTCCCAGTTTTTGCCCACAGTCTCCTAAATCAAAATTACAAAAAGCTCGGTAGTCCGGACCTGGGTATCAAAAGCCGTCTGCAGCTCGAGGACTCGAGCCAGAGCCCTGTCGAGCTCGACCTGGGTGTCGGTTAGTTGATTTGTGAGCTCGTCCTTACTCCTGGAAATTCGATTTATGCAGTTACAAGTGCAAAAACTAAATTTTGACTTCGAAACAGGGATGGCGAAATGGTAGGGTGCTTGGATACCAGGATAAGTATCCGGGTTCGATCCCAGGGTTGAACCTTTTTGCTTTTTTACCGACCTTTCGAGAGCGACGAGTCGATGATGTTTGAGATCCTTCTCATGCTGCGTCTCCTCGAACTCGTGGATCGTCTTGTTCCGCTCCGTCTCGATGGCGGAGGCCATTTCAGCGATCGTCTCCTCCATTCTGTGCTTCCAGTGATCACCATCATCTGTGGCAGCTTTTAGACGGAGCTCGAGATTCTGAAAATTGCTCTCTCTCTCTCTCTCTTGCCCTCTCTCTCTGGCTCGCTCTCTCTCTCTCGCGCTTTCAGTCCGGCTCACTCTCATTCTCTGTCGCGCTTTCTCCCTTCCTCTCTAGCGCTCTCGCTGTCTCTCTCTCTCTCTCTCTCTCTCTCTCTCTCTCTCTCTCTCTCTCTCTCTCGCTCTCTCTCGCTCACTCTCACTCTCTCACTCTCTCTCTCTCCTTCTCTCTCAATACCTGATTCGCACGCGTCAAAGTACGGTTCTCACGATGCAAACGCTCCAATTCTCCCTGCGCCGCCTTCAGCTGAATGTTGAACGAGTCGCGCTCCTAAATCCAGCAAAAATTCAGGCACCCCGCGCCCTCCCCCACCTGCTCCACAGCATGCAACGAACTCTTGTACACGTCCAGCTCGCGGTTCTTCAGATTCACTTCGGTCTTGGCGTCCTGAAGATGGCGCTCGAGCTCCTGGATCTTGCGCTGGTGCTCGGAGAGGGAGGTCGAGGAGGGGACACGGGAGAGACCCTCCATAATGTCCGGTTCGGTTTGTCTGCAATGGGGATACGGTAACTACAGCGGATGGGGTAAGTTTGTAAGGTAATCAAGCAAATTAGCAGCTACAGTATACCTCCTTCGGCAGAGATGGCGCATCGTGGAGAATGACGGCACGGAAGTGATGGAATATTGACGAGTCAGCGAGCGATCCATACTGTGTCGACCGCTGCTCAATCGACCTGAAATCAGGAATACTTGGAATAAAGCCTTCCCCAATGGTCTTTGCTAGCCCTCCCCAATGATCACTGCTAGCCCTCCCCAATGATCACTGCTAGCCCTCCCCAATGATCACTGCTAGCCCTCCCCAATGATCACTGCTAGCCCTCCCCAATGGTCTCTGCTAGATCTCCACAATGACCTTTGCAATCTTGCCGATTCCTTTCTGTCAACGTCTCATTAACAGCTATAAATTAGCATCCGTGTAGATGCGAACAGCCAATCCCAATGGAATAATCATTTTTCTGCCCCAATGTTTCGACTTGGCAGGCTTCTCCTCCTGGTAAATCCACTGTTTTTCGAAATTAGAGCATTTGACCGTTGAGCGAAAGATCAAGTTCCTTTTCAGCTTGAACTCCTTCTCGTCGTCGCACCGCCCGCCATTGGTCAACTGGCAGATGAGGCGAGGATTGCCGAGTCCGGACGGCGGGGATTCCGGTATTCAAGAGACAACGTCAACCCCGCCAATCCATTATTGGCCATCGACGCAGCCCCTCAACAGTGCAAGGGCAGTATCACCTTGACGAAACAGGGACACGCGCCTGTTATCGACAGGAAGCCTGATGGTGAACCTATCAGAGGCCCGGCGCCCGACTACAAAAGACCGTTGATCAACGAACCTGTGACGGTTAAACTGGAGAATGGAACTGTGGTCCGCCTCTGCGATCAAGATTTCACGGTGCCGCCGAATAGCAACGTCACCTTTTGGGCTGCGCCCGGAGAGTTTAGCTTCGAGTGCAAAGGGGAAGGTGTCGCCTACCCGGAATGCGGCGTCCCCTACGGCTACCGGTGCTGGGAAGAGATCTGGGTATTTTGCTTCTTGCTGAGCGATTATACGACCACCAGTACAACTACTACCACAACAACCACCACTACACCCGATCCACCGACTAGGCAAGTTTCGAAGTATACCTCTGGGGGTCAAGTCTAGGAAAGCTTAGACTGAGGCTTAGGCCTAGGCTTAGGTCTATTTTACGAACCTCTGGTCTAATTTTGCGCTATTGCGGCGAAATGCCGAAGGGATTTTTTTTGTGACGACCTCTATTGATATAGTAAACGAGGTTAAAGTCGAATTTACGGTTCTTTAGGATTCCCGGGGGGGGGGAAAGTATTCCCGGGGGGGGAAAACAAATTTTTTTCGGCGAAAGCCTAGATTTTTGTATAAATTGCGGATGCGTTTCTAAATTGTTTTTAACTATCCCTGTGCATAAAAACTACACACATTTTAACCAAAAAAATGTAAAAAATTAAAAATTAGGTCGAAAAATAGACCCAAAATGACCAAATTTTCGACTTTTTCAAACATTTTTCTAAATTTTTCTGAAAGTTATTCTGCTTTAAATATAGTTAAAACTTACTAAAAACAATTCGAAAACACTTTATATTTGATTACTAGGTCAACCGGGACCACCAGGAAAAAAATTGGTTTCCCCCCCCGGGAATACTTTCCCCCCCCGCGAATCCTAAAGAACCGAATTTACGACTTACGTAGGCTCCCAGCCTTAAGTCGGTACATGCAATCAATACCCCTCAATTTCAGTCCCACTCCCCCATCCATCAATGCCAACAAGGACAAATTGTCATCGATGTCGTTGACCATCGCGTTGGCAGCCAATCTACTCACTGTATGCTAATACCACTACCAATTCCCGGCATTGCGATAAATAATTCTTTACCCAGCGTGTGGAGAGAGAGAGAGAGAGAGAGACAGTGAGAGAGAGGGAGAAAGACTACGCCCGATAAACCAAAATGTATGATTCTTTGCAGAATATCAAGACCACGGCTGCGACGGTGAGCACAGAGAAAACGACGTTCGCCCACCCTGACGCCATCGACTGCCAGAAAAACTCTACGATCGAGGGTTGCAACAATAGCTCGATGCCGCCACCATTGGAGACAACAGCCGATCGCCAAGATTATACGGTGAGGATTTACCGTTTCCGGCCTTGGTCGCCTTCATGACGTCGCCCAAACGACCCAAAATGGCATTGTGCTGTTAGCGGGGGGAGGGCTTAGGCCTAGCGGGTAACGCTGCGTCTTACCTTCCGCGTGCGCTTGGTTTTTCTTTTCCATTTTGACATATTTTTGACCCATCAAAAACTTTTTCCTTTGAGAACGCATTACCTTTTTGCTGAATTCATCGTTTACATTTCATCTACAGAGCCCGTCGGAGACCTTGCCTACCACCCGGCAGCAGGAGGAAAAGGCGACGACTGGCAGGCCATGCGATGAGGCGACGATCGGATGCACCACGACGCCAAACATCACAGTCCAAGTGGGACCCGTGCCAACCTGCAACGGGACGAGCCGTCTGCCGAGTAATGGGAAGCCGATCCCACTACCTGGTGGTACCAGCACTAGCACCACTACCAGCGCAGCCACGACCATCGCGCTATTCGACAACGGGACCATAGTGACGCTCCACAACGGCTCCAGCGTCAACGTTTGCGCCGACGACTTCATCGCCCCGCCCAACAGCACCATCAGCGTCGCATCGCACTACGACACGCTTGAGGTGAAGTGCTGGAACGATATTACCACCATCCTCTGCAACGACAGCCACAAGCTCATCTGCCGCGGGCCGATCACCGTCACCTGCGTGAAACTCGGCCAGACGCCCGACCCCTACAATGCCACGAGAAGGTAAGTTCGGTTAGGTTTGTGGTAAGCTAGCAGAGATCATTGAGGAGGGCTAGCAGAGACCATTGAGGAGGGCTAGCAGAGACCATTGAGGAGGGCTAGCAGAGACCATTGAGGAGGGCTAGCAGAGACCATTGAGGAGGGCTAGCAGAGACCATTGAGGAGGGCTAGCAGAGACCATTGAGGAGGGCTAGCAGAGACCATTGAGGAGGGCTAGCAGAGATCATTGAGGAGGGCTAGCAGAGATCATTGAGGAGGGCTAGCAGAGACCATTGTTGGAGACCTGAATAACTTCCTCCATTTCAGTTCTACCGCCGCTACGTTCATCGTCGTGGACAAAGATGAGGCGTTCCCGTGGCTGTTGATGATCATCGGCATCTCGTTCCTGATCGTCGTCTGCGCCGCGGCCATCTTCGCCAAGTTCTACGTCCGCTACAAGTTCACCAACAAAACGAAGAAAAGGGCCGACGTCGAGGCGCCGATCCAGCTGAAGAACAGCCCTGGTCCCAGCACCCCCGCAAAGTCAGCGAAGCCAGCCGAGCCAGCCAAGCCAGTCAAGCCCTCCAAGCCCACCAAGTCGCCCAAGCCAGCCAAGTGCACCAAGCCATCCAAGCCATCCAAGTCAAACAGCTCGGAGGAGGAGCCGGACTCTGCCGGAAAGGTGGCTGCCTATAATTGTCTTTAAACCCGTCCACTTTCAGGGTGAGCCGCCTTTCGTGCTTCCACCCGGCACCTTCAAGTACAAGGCCGGATTCAAGATCAACAACGGATACACTGGAAATTGGGTAAGTGGTATAGCTGAACGCCTGGAATATGTGTTCTTTTTAGGAGCATCGCCGGCCTCCGGCGATCATGGACGACGATGGGTCAGTGTCATCGATCGAGATAAAATGGGACGACGACGACAACCAATACTGGGAATTCGGGGTCAACGATCTGGACGTGGTGGGTAAAGGTGATCTGTTTAAGTGGGAAAATATAAATAAGCCCCCCCCCCGATAAGCGTTAAGAACCGAACTCTTAAAAATCTCCTTTTTTAGTGGAATGCGATGGAAGAGGAAGAGGAAACTCAAATGAGCAGGTCCGAGGATGAGGTACCGGAACGGCACCTTCGAGGTGATCGCGACGACCCGTCCTCAACCACGGTATGCGATGACGACCTCGAGGAGGCCGAAAAGGTTGGTGTCACCCTCCCATTAAAACTTTCTGGTACTGGACTGTTAGCGGGGGGACCTAGCGGGATTAAATAAATATTCCTCCGCTAAAAGCCCAGTACTAATTATCCCTTTTTCAGAGGGCCAAGTTGATGAAGAAGAAGAGAGGCGGCGTGACGCGGCACAAGGCCGCCGTCAGCACGGCCGCCACCAACACTAAGAAGCACCGGCCTGCTCGCCGAGCTCGCCGCTGAGGCAGCACAAGCACATCTACCACACAAACCCGCTTCACCCAGGCCATCCTTGTCGACCTGTTCGCCCCCTACTACCCTGCCGTTTTTTGTAAATTCAAGTACACTCACCTATTCTTTATATTACGTTTTATAATGCCATGTACATTTTTGTGAGTACTGAATAAATGTTTGGCTGAAAAACCAAGTGAAAGCATGCAAGGAAAACGTTTAGCCCTCCCCAATGTTCTCTGCTAGCCCTCCACAATGGTCTCTGCTAGCCCTGCTCAATGGTCTCTGCTAGCCCTCCTCAATGGTCTCTGCTAGCCCTCCTCAATGGTCTCTGCTAGCCCTCCTCAATGGTCTCTGCTAGCCCTGCTCAATGGTCTCTGCTAGCCCTCCTCAATGGTCTCTGCTAGCCCTCCTCAATGGTCTCTGCTAGCCCTCCTCAATGGTCTCTGCTAGCCCTCCTCAATGGTCTCTGCTAGCCCTTCTCGATGTTCTCTGCTAGCCCTCCACACTGCTCTCTGCTAGCCCTCCTCAATGGTCTCTGCTAGCCCTGCTCAATGGTCTCTGCTAGCCCTCCTCAATGGTCTCTGCTAGCCCTCCTCAATGGTCTCTGCTAGCCCTCCTCAATGCTCTCTGCTAGCTATCTCTGCCAATCAATTACGCAATAAAACGGAGCGCGCGAATCGTGATTTCCGCAGAACTGGTTTGGAACCGTTAGGAATAAAATTTATAGACAACAACCAAGCCTGGCTGATCCTTTTAAGCAACCTTTGAATACCCCAAATATCTTCCTTTCCCACCGGAAATCCCGCCAAGATTTCCCGCCTACCGTAATCCGAGTCGAGGCTGCTCTCCCTCTCCAGGCTCCTTCCCATATAATTGAGGCCAAAGTTCGAGTCGCTCCTGTCGACCCTCGACTTGTGCGTGATGTTGTCCGTCTCCAGCCTAAAAATACCAGATAAAATCTTTTTAGGTTGCATTAAGACGAATTTGCTTTATTCTTCTTTTACTCTTCCTAACCACCTGCTATTCTTCCTCCTCAACTCGTCCAACTCGTCCTTCAGCTCGTCCACACGGTGCTTATGCGATTCGCGCAAATCTTTCATGCATTCCTCCATTAGCGATTCCTGGAAGGTGACTGGTTTTTGCATTAATGGGAGCAGAAATGCCGGCAGGCTAGCAGCGACCTCTTGGGAATTGAATCCTCGGTTTGCCCCTGTTCTACGCATTAATGGGGAGCGTGGAAGGAATGTAATCAGCAGAGATTCTTGTGGACTCCGAATTTTTCGCCACTCCGATTAAGGGGAATGTGGCAGCACCCGGCAACCTAGCAGAGATTCTTGAGGAACCCGACTGGCAATTTTTTTGACTGCTTTGCGCATTAAAGGGCGTGTGACAGTCCCGGCTAGAACATATTTTTTTGTGGAATAGGAGCCGTGATTTTTAGATCTTTTGAGCATGAAACGGAGCATGTCCGGCCTAGCAAACGAGCAAAGATTCTTGAGAATTAGGAGTCTTGGTTTTTTGTACGTGGCGGATTTAAAGAAGGCGTGACAGGCGAGGCAAGCCCGCGAAGAACATTGGGGAATCGGATTTTGGCTTAAAATTGATCTGTTTTCAATGCGTTAAAGGGGTCTTGACAGATCAGGCAAGCTAGCAACGACCATTGCGGAATTGGAGCCATGATTTCATGATTTTCTACGGTTTTTAAGCGTGCAGGACCGTAAAAAATATACCTTATCAGCCAGCTTCTTCTCCAGCTTTTTGATGAGATTATCTTTATCTCGGGCGACGTCTTTCTAAAATTAAAGATATTCTTTCTATTCATCATTCCGACACATTTAAAAATATTCTTTTTTAAGGTTTAGAAATTTCTCCGACCATCGAATCATATTTCTCCAGCATCTTCTCCGCCTCCGCCTTGAACGTGCCGAGCTCGTCCTTGACCTTCTCGAGCTCCCGCTCCGCCTTGCGCCGTTGGTTGCGCTCCTCGCCAACGTTGGAATCGGCTTTGGTGAGACGCTCCTATAGGGTGATAGTAACAGCTTGTGGAGCCCCAGCTCATACCGTCAGATCGGAGATCGTCTCCTGAAGCTCGGCGACGAGGTCGCTCTGTTTTCGCGCTCGGGCCATGTGCTCATCACGTGCGTTTTCGAGGCTAAAGGTGGGGTGATAAAATTGGAATTAAATTGTGGTGAGTCGAAAAATGGTCGTGTAAGAGACTGATTCTCCTGTACCGAGCAACAGCTTCAACAAGTCTCCTCTTCTCCTTCAACACGTTCTCCGTCCTGCCCTCCAGCTCCTTCAGACTCATCTGGGCCTCCATCAGCTCCTTCTGGATCCGCTCAGTTTCACTTCTCTCGCGCTCCAGGTGTTCTTTTGCCTAAAGTACAGGCTACAAAGTACAGAAAATTCCTCTCACCTTTTGCAGCTCTCGCTCCCTCTCCTTGCGCTCATAATCGAGCTTTTCGAATTTTCGCTCGTACTCCCGCAAGCTTTCGCTCATTCCCTAAAATCAAGTTTTTATGGAACATTATGGTCCTCCTCAATGGTCTCTGCTAGCCCTCCTCATTGGTCTATGCTAGCCCTCCTCAATGGTCTCTGCTAGCCCCCCTCAATGGTCTCTGCTAGCCCTCCTCAATGGTCTCTGCTAACTATCTCATATTTTCTCTAAGGTCATCCATACCAAACAGAATCCGGTATCATGCCTTGCCAGACTCTTTAAAACCAAAAATTCGCTACCATAACTAATTAGAAAGTGCAAAAATGGATGTTCTCACTGCGATCCTCTTCTGCTGTTGCTGATATTTCCCCTCGAGCAGGTCGAAGATCTCCTCATTGCCGTGCATCTCGCTGCGCACCTCGTGCAGCTCGCGCATCTTCTCCTCCAGCATCTGTTCGCCCACGGTTAGTTTTTATAGCTATTTTTTCTAATAACTACTCAATTCCAACTATCTACTTTTTGTATTCGGCAAAATAACAAAAAAAACTTCAAAAATAATGGTAAATCTAGGTTTAAAGACACAAAATACTACCGGGTTGGCACTTCCAAAAATAATAAGGTTAAAAAGTCGACGCTTGGAAGATATGGCGACCTCAAGCCTAAGCCCCAATCCCAACCCACCTTTTCAACTCTTTCCTTCGCCTCCTCGGCCTTTTTCCCATCAAGTCGAGCGTTGTCTTTTAGACTCTGGATCGTCTACAAATCGATTGATTCCCCTGGGCGCCTATTTACACCCCTACCGTACACAGCTCCTTGTTGTCGCCCATCATCCGGGCCCTCTCCTCTTCCAACTCGCGCAAACGGCGTTCCAGCTCCAGGATTCGCTCTTTTTCGCGTTCTTTCGGGATCAGGGGATGGACCTGAGGGGTGTGGAAAAATATATATAAGGTTAAGAAAACTTCACAAGTCCTTTAAAACTAATAAATATAGTATTTCGTTCTCACTCTCTCTCTCTCTCTCTCTCTCTCTCTCTCTCTCTCTTTCTCTCTCTCTCTCTCTTTCCCTCTCTCTCTCCCTCTCTCTCTCTCTCTCTCTCTCTCTCTCTCTCTCTCTCTCTCTCTCTCTCTCTCTCTCTCTGTCTCTCATAATTTCTGGCTTCCCCATCCCTTTAAAACCCACGAGTGTCAACAGCCGGTGCCATGGCCACTGGGCTACACGATTGAACGCCCTCACGTTCCACTGGATGATGTCGACAGCCAAGCTAAGATTCGAAAATTCTTTCTTGTTTTAAGGCCCAATTACCATTTCTTGACTCGTATTTTGTAGTCTTGCACAGCTAGGAAAGTACGGATCTCCGTCTGTACGCACGTCATCATTGCCGTCAGTTTCTCGCGTCGATGCTCTTCCAACTGAAAAAGCTCTCTTTCTCTCACCAGCTCTCTGTCTCTCTCTTTCTCTTTCTCTCTCTCTCACCTCCGAAATGACTCCAACTTTGCAGAAAACCCTCGTGTTCCCGATCTGCACCCGGGATTCCTCGATTTTCAGCAAATCGCAGAGCTCCCTCGCTGCAGCCCGATTCCGTGAAAGCCATTCCTTGCCGACGACCAACCCTAGGAGTTGATGCTAAAGTTCCTGATCCAAAAGCCTACCGTATCTCTCGACAAACTGATCGAACGGCAGTCGATTCGGATAGCCCTGACGGCAGATGCGGATGCCCTCCAGCACTCCGTTACAGCTGAAAATGATGGATACGTGGAATAGATTAATGCGAAGCCTAAGCAAAGCCAAGGCCAAGCCAAGCCTAGCTTGAGTCGTTTAGACCTGCGCAACCCTAAGCTTCGGCCTAGGTCAAACCTAAGCCTAGCCCAAGCCCCTAAGCCAAACCTAAGAAAACCCCCAGGAAAGCCTAAGCCAAGCCTAAGTCAAGCGAATCCAAACCTAAGCCGAAGCCCAGCCCTAACCAGACCTAAGCCACGCTAAGCCGGAGCCAAAACCTAAGCTACCGCCAAGCTAAGGACAAGCAGAAGCTTAATTGTCAGCTCACCATGTCAAGCCTAAGCAAAGCGCGAAAGGCTAATAGAGGCTAAGCCGAGGCCAAGCAAAGCCCGAACAGAAGCCCTAGCATACGCCAAGCCTAAGCCTATGCCTCAGATTGTCCCTTTAGCATTGTCCTATTCAACACCAATTTCCTACCGTAATTGATGAAGCACCAGTGGGGCATTCAGCTTCCCGGGCTGCTTCTCGCGGTTCGGCAGCAAACAACGGATGAAATGAGCCGATGTTTGGTTGAGGGCATCCAGAAGGGAGCATAGTTGGTTCTGAAAACTGGCTTATCTATTCCTGAACCGTCTCTGCTAGCTAGTCGCCCTTACTCGACGACCCGCCCAGTCCGTCACCACCCCTTTAAAACCTCAAAAACCCACGCGATACACAAAAGTGACGGTGGCCGTGGCGAGACCGCCTTTCTTCGGCTTTTGAGCATCTACATCAACTAAAATTCAGTTTTTTAGTTTTTAGAAAGTAGTCTAACCATGCGGGAACAAGTCGGCGATAAGTCGATGCTGGCTCTGGCTCATCGTCTCCAGAATCGAAAACTCGACGGCGTCCCTGTCCTTCTCCAACCAGCCGTCAATGTTGTAGTCGACCTGAGATATTTATAAAAATAGAAATAAGGTTTATTCGTAAATTCTAAAATTAAAAAACTTAAAAAACTTCAAAAATGATTTTTTGAACTCACAATGCCGGCGTAGTGCTTGATGGTGAAGTGGCTCAGCGAGTTTGTCCTGAAAATTACGTTATTAAATTGTTTTTAGCTGTTTAAGCCAAAAATTATCGAATTAATACAGTATCAAACTGAATTAAAAATATGTAAACTTATTAAAAGCAACTTTTGCGAGGGTTTCGCCTTCGAAAACTGGTCGGCCTCCTTGAAGTTCTCCGTCCACTTTTCGAGCAGCGCCGGCTCGGAGCCGTTCGGCACCACGCATTCTTCTTCGAGCAGGGTGAAGAGGCCGAGGGGCTGAAAGAAAAAGGATTCCTGAAGGATCGAATCATATTTCTCCAGCATCTTCTCGGCCTCCGCCTTGAACGTGCCGAGCTCATCCTTCACCTTCTCGAGCTCCCGCTCCGCCTTGCGCCGTTGGTTGCGCTCCTCGCCAACGTTGGAATCAGCTTTGGTGAGACGCTCCTATAGGGTGGGAGTAACAGCTTGTGGAGCCTCAGCTCTTACCGTCAGATCGGAGATCGTCTCCTGGAGCTCGGCGACGAGGTCACTCTGTTTTCGCGCTCGGGCCATGTGTTCGTCGCGGGCGTTTTCGAGGCTAAAGATGGGGTGATCAATTTAGAATTAAGAAATGGTCCTTAAAAAAACCTGATCCTCAGAATGTGCCGAAACAACAGCTTCAGCAAGTCTCCTCTCCTTTGCTTCAAGACATTCTCCGTCCTTCCCTCCAACTATTCCAGACTCATCTGGGCCTCCATCAGCTCCTTCTGGATCAACCAGTCTCACTTCTCTCCCTTGCTCCAAGTGCTCTTTCGCCCTAGAAATATAGGGTAGAAAATACAGCCTATTTCTGACCTTTTGCAGCTCTCAACTCCCTCTCCTTGCACTCATAATCAGGCTTTTCGAATTTTCGCTCGTACTCCCGCAAACTTTCGCTCATTCCCTTAAAAAATAGATTTTTGCTGGAATTTATAGGTCCTCCCCAATGGTCTCTGCTAGCCTCCTCAGCAATTCTTTCTGCTAGCTCTCCTCAATAGTCTCTGCTAGCCCTCCTCAATAGTCTCTGCTAGCCCTCCCTCAATGGTCTCTGCTAGCCCTCCTCAATGGTCTCTGCTAGCCCTCCTCAATATTCTCTACCCCAGCCCTCCTCCATTGGGTCTCTACTAGCCCTCCTCATGGTCTCTGCTAGCCCTCCTCAATGGTCTCACTAGCTAGCCCATAATTTTCTCAAAGGTCATCCATACCAAACAGAATTCGGTACCATGCCTTGCCAGACCCTTTAAAACCAAAAATTCGCTACCATAACCATTAGAAGTGCAAAAATGCATGTTCTCACTGCGGTCCTCTTCTGCTGTTGCTGATATTTCCCCTCGAGCAGGTCGAAGATCTCCCCTCGTTGCCAAAGTGCCTCTCCTTTGCGCACCTCGTCCAGTTCAGCGCATCTTCTCCTCCAGCATCTGTTCGCCCACGGTTAGCTGTCACTAGCTTTTCTCTCTTAGCTATTCAATTCCAGCTATTGATTTTCTATGTTCAAAAAATAATAAAAACATCAAAAATAATGGTAAATCTAGGTTTAAAACACAAAATACTACCGGGTTGGCACTTCCAAAAAAATAAGATACAAAGTCGACGCTTGGAAAATATGGCGACCTCAAGCCCAAGCCCAATCCCAACCCACCCACCTTTTCCACCCTTTCCTTCGCCTCCTCGGCCTTTTTCCCATCAAGTCGAGCGTTGTCTTTTAGACTCTGGATCGTCTACAAATCGATTGTTTCCCCCTGAGCGCCTGTTTACACCCCTACCTTATACAGCTCCTTTTTGTCGCCCATCATCAGGCCCCTCTCCTCTTCCAACTCGCGCAAACGGCGTTCCAGCTCCAGGATTCGCTCTTTTTCACGTTCTTTCGGGATCAGGGGATGGACCTGAAGGATGGGGAAAATCTATATAAGGTTTAGAAAGCTTCTAGGAGACCTCGAAAACTGGTCAATATAGTATTTTTCTTGTAATCCGAGTTCTCTCGTCCTCGCTCCTCTCTCTGTCTCCCTACTCTCTCTCTCTCTCTCTCTCTCTCTCTCTCCTCTCTCTCTCTCTCTCTCTCTCTCTCTAGTTATCTCTTTCCCTCTCTCTCTCCTCTTTCTCTCCCTTCTCTCTTTCTCTCTCTCGCCCTCTCGCTTTCTCTTTCTCTCTCTTTCTCTCACCCTTCTCTCTCTGTTTCTCTCTCTCGCTCTCTCTCTTTCGCTCTCTCTCTCTCTCTCTCTCTCTCTCTCTCTCTTTCGCTTGACATCCTTATTTTCGCTTTCGCCCTCTGTCTCTCTCGCCCTCTCTCACCAGATTTCTGACTTCCCAATCCCTTTAAAACGCACGAGCGTCAACAGCCGATGCCATGGCCACTGGGCTACGATTGAACGCCCTGACGTTCCACTGGATGATGTCGACCGCCAAGCTAAAATTTCAGAAATTATTGAAAGTACAGGGCCCTATTACCATTTCTTGGCGCGTATTTTTAGTCTTGAACAGCGAGGAAAGTGCGGATCTCCGTCTGCACGCACGTCATCATTCCCGTCAGTTTATCGCGACGCCGCTCTTCCAGCTGGAAAAGCTCTCTTTTTCTCACCCTCCTTCTCGCTTTCTCTCTCTCTCACTCTCTCTCTCTCACCTCCAGAAATGACTCCAACTTTGCAGAAAACCCTCGTGTTCCCGATCTGCACCCGGGATTCCTCGATTTTCACCAAATCGCAGAGCTCCCTGGCTGCTGCTCGATTCCGCGAAGACCATTCCTTGCCGACGACCAACCCTAGGAGTTGATGCTAAAGTTCCTGATCCAAAAGCCTACCGTATCTCTCGACAAACTGATCGAAAGGCAGGCGATTAGCGGATAGCCCTGACGGCAGATGCGGATACCCTCCAGCACTCCGTTACAGCTGAAAATACGACGGATACATTGGGATAGATTGATGCGAAGTCAAGGCCAAGCCAAGCTTAGCTTGAGTCGCTTAGACCTCGCACCCCTAAGCTTCGGCCTAGGTCAAACCTAAGCCAAGCCCAAGCCAATCCTCGGCCAAACCTAAGAAAACCCCAAGGAAAGCCTAAGCCAAGCCTAAGTCAAGCCCAACCAAGCCCAGCCATCGCTAAGCCGAAGCTAAAACCTAAGCCACTGCCAAGCTGAGGACAGCAGAAGCCTATTGTAAGCTAGCCTTGTCGAGTCTAAGCAAGGCCGGAAACCCAAACCGAGGCCAAGCAAAGCCCGAACAGAAGCCCTAACATACGCCAAGCCTAAGCCTATGCCTCAGCTTGTCCCTTTAGCATTGTCCTATTCCACAGCAATTTCCTACCGTAATTGATGAAGCACGAGTGGAGCATTCAGCTTTCCGGGCTGCTTCTCGCGATTCGGCAGCAAACAGCGGATGAAATGGGCTGATGTTTGGTTGAGGGCATCCAGAAGGGAGCATAGTTGGTTCTGAAAACTGGCTTATTGATTCCTGAATCGTCTCTGCTAACTAGCCGCTCTTTCTAGACGGTCTGTGCCACCTGTCGCCACCCCTTTAAAACCTCAAAAACTCACTCGATACACAAAGGTGACGGTGGCCGTGGCGAGGCCGCCCTTCTTCGGCTTCTGAGCATCTACATCAACTAAAATCCAGATTTTAAGTTTTTTAGAAAATAGTCTAACCATGCGAGGAACAAGTCGGCGATCAGTCGATGCTGACTGTGGCTCATCGTCTCCAGAATCGAAACTCGACGGCGTCCCTGTCCTTCTCCAGCCAGCCGTCAATGTTGTAGTCGACCTAAGAAATTTATAAAAATAGAAATAATGTATTCGTGAAATCTAAGCTTTTTAAAACTCAAAAAGTTTTAAAAATGATTTTTGAACTCACAATGCCGGCGTAGTGCTTGATGGTGAAATGGCTCAGAGAGTTTGTCCTGAAAATGACGCTATTAAATTGTTTTTAGCTATTTTCAAGCGAAAATTTACCGAAAGAATAACAGTGTAGTGTTAAACTGAATTTAAAACATTATGAAAATTTATTAAAACCAACTTTTTGCGAGGTTTCGCCTTCGAAAGCTGGTCAGCCTCCTTGAAGTTCTCCGCCCACTTCTCCAGCAGCGCCGGCTCAGGCCGTTCAGCACCACGCATTCTTCTTCGAGCAGGGTGAAGAGGCCGAGGGGCTGGAAAGAAACAGGATTCCAAAAAATCTCTGCTAGCATGCCAGGCGAAATTTCCCCAAATGGTTTCTGCTAGCTTGCCGCGTTCAGAGGAAATACCAAAAAATCTATAATACCTTACCAAAATGTTGGTAATTCCCAAGGAATCTTTGCTATCTTGCCTCATTCTATTCCGAAATGGTCTCTGCTAGCTTGCCCAAAACGCAGGTAGTTCCGAAATGATCGCTGCTAGCCTGCCGAGCTCCGGGAGCATCCCCAAGAATCTCGGCTAGCTTGCGGAGCTCGTTCTATTTCCCAAAAAAATCTCGGCTAGGTTGCCAGCCCCATCTTAATTTCTAAAGAATCCCTGTTAGCCTGCCAAAACCAAATCGATTTTTTAAAAATTCCCTGCTAGTCTGCCGAGTTCAGGGGAATTCCCAAAAAATCTCTGCTAGCCTGCCAGCGCCAAGGCAATTCCCAAAGAACTCTGCCAGCTCACCCGCTCAAAATATCAATTGTCGGCTGCAAGTCGAACGCGTAATCCGTCTGCGACCATCTAAATTCATGGGGTAATCGGTAACCCCTAGGAAAACCGACTTGATGCCCTCCTCCAAATACTCCGTCTGTTCCCTAACAAACATAAAGTGGTTGAAGAATTGCTGGAGCTTCTCGTTGGTGTAGTTGATGCACAACTGCTCGAAGCTGTTCACCTAAATTTATATCTTTCAGGCTTCCTTTAAATTCTTTATTCCCAAAAAAAAACACATAAATCTAAGCCCCAGCCAAGCCGAGGTCTAGCCATATGCCAAGCCTGAGTCAAGCCGAAGCCAAGCCTGAGCTTGAGCCAAATTAAGCCTAAACGAAGCCTAGGCCAAACCTCAGCCAGGGCTAGGCCAAGCCTAAGCCTACGCCTACGCCTAAGGTAAGCCTATGCCTAGCCTAGGCCAAACCCAAGCTAGGGCTAGGCCAAGCCTGACCTAAGCCTAAACCCACCCGACTTGCCTGAATAATCTCAAAGCCGGCAATGTCGAGCACGCCAATGGAGTGATGTGTGCCGGAAGTGGCTTCACCTGAAAATAACGATTTTGACGAATTATTCAAGTGAATTAAAACTACTAAAGACTATCCTTAATATTTTATGAATTTTTACCAACCTTCAGCTTCCTTATAAATGGCAGCATTGCACTTGTCGAGCACCCAGTTGAACAGGCGTTCGTAGAGCGTTTTTGCGGAGCCGCGACGAGGGCTAGCGTCTGAAAAATGGAAGTTTAAAGGGACGGGAAAGGCATAGATTTTGCCGCGCACGCGACGCGGCCGCAACGCGACGAAATAGAAATAAATAAGCTACGAAAACAACCAAACTCACCTTTTTCAAATTCTGGTTCTTCCTGATCGTATTCTCGCCGACCCTTATCGTGGGCTGCGTCAGGCAATCGGATAGCAGGGATGGCCGGATACCAAGCAATGCCGCGACGGCGTCGATTTCTGAAGAATTGTCGAACACTCGAATACTTCAGGCCGTTCGGACCTTGCTCCCCTCACATAGCTCATATCCAGCCCCGAGCGTTCGCCGAATCGGATCTCGCCGAGTAAGATGCAGCTGGCCAGGATCTAAAAAGGGTATATTTATCGCCATTGGTGCATCCAGATCTAGTTCAGCTCCCGATTCGGTTCCACGACTCTCAGTGTCCCTTGAAAAATTGCTGCACACGTTATTTTGTATATCGTATGTTTCTGTCCACACCTTGCGTGGCCGAAGGTCAGTTTTAACGCTTCACGGTCCCTTTAAAAGCGGGACCACGCGGAATTGGCGTCTTGCGTACTTGTCGACACCCAGTCGAGGTCAGGGTTACGCTTCGGATTACTGTTAAGACTCTTTTACGCGTCATTTTGAACGATTTGTGCCTATCGATGCCTGGCTAGGCATAAGGGGTAAATTCTCGCCCTTCCTGGTCCCTTTAAAATCATGCAATTGTCATTTTGGAACGGCGTGTCGCTATCGCTATATCTGAGCGGCAGATTTTCGCGCTCATGAGCCTTTTTAAGATCCGGTTTAGGTGTCGTTTTCGTGAAACCCAGTTGTCTAAACCCAGCCAGTCTTCAGGGGTCGATCCTTCCCGGTCCCTTTAAACCACATCACTGGCTATTTCTAGCCTACCCTCGACTATTTTCACGTTGCCAACACGGTAATCTGATACCCCAGCCAATAGAAAAGCCTTTCTTCCCGAAGTCTCACCTCGAACACATGTGCCTTTTGTTGGTGGGTGAAGCCGAGTCTGTCAAGCCGCCTGCAATGGAGACAAATTACCCTCAGAAAGGTGTAAATAGTCAGCAGGGGTCGGATCCGATTACCTGTTGATATTGTCAAACGCCTGAGACCGCGTGTTCCTCCCCGGTAATTGGGGGCAATTTTTTAGCACATAGGGGAGAGGGTGTTTCAACAGTTTTCGGGGTCAACAAGCTTGTCGGTTAAGATAAATTAGGGGATAAATAGCCGGATCAAGTATCTTTTTGGCAGGTTTGTTGATAGGGCAATTGCACTTGGGAAGTCTAACCTAAGCCTAAGCCAAACCTAAGCCAAGCCCAACTTACGTCCGTATTCTTCCCGACGGCTTGATCGTCGATCGGCTCAGCGTAGGCACCACCTCCAGATAAATAGCGATACGCTGACGGTGGAGGCCTAAAAATCTCATATTTTCAAACGCGAAGCTAAGCTGACGCTTCGGACCAGATGAAGCTCAGGCTAGCTCATGCTCACGCTCATGCTCAATTTCCAAAGCCAGTTCTAACCCTCAATTTTCGCATCAAAGCCCAAAGTTAAGTCTGCCGTAGGCCAAAGCCGAGCTAAGCTAGCTCAGCTTAATGTTGAGACAAGTTGGACCTAAGCTCAAACGAAAGCTAAGCCCAGGCTTAAGCCCATCTCAAGTCCAGGCCTTACCTGAATCCCAGCCGCTCGAAATTCTCCTCCCCAAAAGCCCCGCTGAGGAGCTGATGGAAAATGTGAAAGTTGCGCTCGCCCTCATTTTGGTTGACGACGCGAGAGCGTTCGAGTAGATCTGAAACAAATGGGTTTACAAAAATAATTAGATAAATCAGCTTAGGCTTGATGGCATTTTAGTTAAGTCCAAATTTAAGCTTTAAACTAGGTCACTCACAGCATTCAATCGATGCCGACTGCATGCGGCCGTCCTCGTTGAACTCGATTTTGATGAATTTGCCCTGGAATTTTGGATTTTAGAGGTGGACAGGCTTTTGGCAAAAATCCCGAAAAAAACAAAATACCGACACGACAAAAGCCTGCTAAAAAATCCCGACAACCGGAATTCTGAGGTCCCGATGTTTAGTGTCGGCATTTTGGCCTGTCGCTATTTTGACTGTCGGGATTTTAGGGTCGGGATTTCAACGCTTTCCGAAATTAAAGCTCTTACAAAGCGGCTGGAATTTGCATTGGCTAGCGTGGCCGCGCTGCCGAACGCTTCGAGCACCTCGCCGCAAGCGATCACGTCTTGGCCGACCTGAAAAACGGTATGGTCGTGCTTCAGCCAAAAGCAAAGTTAAGCCTAAGCCTGGCCAAGCCTAAGCCATACCCTCTCCGCCACGGCGCCACACGAGTTGAGCACGAACTCGATGATGCGCTTCGTGTTCTCCGTCTTGCCCGAGCCCGATTCGCCTCTAAAAATTATTCTTACGCATTGTTACTTGCTTTTAGCTTTATTTTTGGTATTTTGGGGCGCTCTGCAGCCCTCCATAATGCAATCTTTTGCGAGGCCCAAGAAACGAACGTGATCAAGATTGATTGGTCGGTGCCGCCACGCCGTACTCCATCATACGCAGCCTGGGCCACGGCAAAAACGTGCGGTGGTGGGCTCTGGAAAGGGGACTATATTAAGCTTTTAGAGTTTTTTTTAAAGCCCAGATAGTCATCTATGGGTCAATGAAGGTGAAGCCAAGAACAGGTCAAGCCTAAGCCTAAGACCTAAGCTAAGCCCGAACCAAGCTTAAGCCAAGCATAAGCCCAGCCTAATCCTAACCTAAGCCAAGCCTAAGCCAACCCAAGCCAAGCCGAAACCAAGCCTAAGCCGAGCCTAGCCTCAGCATAAGACAAGCCTAAGCCAAGCCAGGCCAAGCCTAAGCCAAATAAGCCAAACAAACCCACCAAATCCAACTTTGAACGATAAATATCCATCACATCTTTCCCGTAAATCGGCAGCTTTCGCCAGGGGTTGATGAACAGGCAGAAAAGCCCGGAATACGTCTAAAATCAGAAGCTAAATTTAGTAAAAAATTGTCTAAAATTACGTGTATAATATCGGCGGCGTAGCGTTTCTGCAGCGAATCGTAGACGGTGGCCACGTTCGGCTCGGTGAGCGTGCACAGGTCGTCAGCATATGTATTTCGGGATACGGGGAAGCATTCCGAGTGCGGGAGACGCTTCTGCAAATCAATTTTTTGCTTTTCCTAAAACTAAAAACACTTCCAAATTTTTACAAAAGATACCGATTTTGCGCAACAAAATTGGGTGATCTGCCCAACATGTAAAATTTATAATGTTTTTAGATAGTTTTTCCTTTTGAAATATAGCTAAATGTTATCAAAAATCTTAGTAACACACTTAATATTACATTACTCGGCATTTTTGGACTTTTTTGAAGCGCCCCCCCCCCCCCGATAATGCAAAAGAATCGTTATTCCCTGGGAACCGTATTAGAATAGTTTTAATGCTATGATTTTTTGATTTTTTTGCTGGAAAATTGCTCTTAAAAAGTGATAGTAAGCATTTGATCTTAAACACTCGTCCTTTTTCGGGACTTCCTATGGTATGAAAATTATTCCACTACGACGTCGAAACGTAACCGGTACCAGCTAATTGCTGATTTTTCGGGAATCTTCGTTGGCCTGGCTGGCTTGGGCTTCGATTAACTTCAAACTGCCCCGTATTTCCGGTCGACCAAGTGTCAAGTTGCCATCGCGAGCCTATGATCAAGCGTGGCCATTTTCCAGCAACCCTACGTCAAAAAAGCCCGCGTAAAAGACATGCGATCAGCCGGCAGGGGACCCCATGTTACACACAAACACTCTGCACCCGTGTGTAGAAGCTGTCTGTCAGTCTCTCTCTCTCTCTCTCTCTCTCTCTCTCTCCTCTCCCTCCTTCTCTCTCTCCGCGAGTGTGTATATGTCGGAACCAATCTGAAACAGATTCCCCCTCTAGACCAGCTCTTTTTCCACTCCTGCTCCCATCCATCCACCCCAGAGCCGGGCCCTCACACATCGCTTTTGGGCTCCTTTGGCCCTTGGCCCCAAGCGCCGTTCCGCCAGGGCCCATTAGCACGAACGGTTTGCGGTTCAGCAGCGAGAGAGAGAGAGTGAGTGAGGGAGAGAGACAGAACGAGAAAATTGTGTAACCAACCCCGCCGCGATGTCTTGTCTGCGGGTGTGAATGAGATTTTTCGGCCCGCAGGCTTATGGGTTCACGGACGACCGGCAGGATCACAGATGTCATTTGGGGGAATCTTTGGATGAAGCCTAGGCCGAAGCTTTATCTTAACCCTAAAATTTTCTGACCGCTAGGCGCCACCATGGCTGCGACTGACCTGCGATTCGCAACCCGAACGCACACACGGCACCCAAAAATGAGGCGAATCCATTACGCTATGAAAATACGGGATAACGTACGCGTAGCGTATCGCCCCGACCCATCAATCCAATCAAAAACCAGAGCCAACAAATCCGTTGCGAGAGAGCGTGAGAGCGGAGAGAGAGACAGAGACAGAGAGAGAGAGAGAGAGAGAGAGAGAGAGAGAGAGAGAGAGAGAGTTAGAGCATGTACGCCTCTTCGACCCACCTTCTCAAAGAAGCCCTGCGCGTCCCGGAAGCCGACACTAATATCCCGATCGGTCTCCTCGATCACTGTACAGAGACGGAAACCCACCACCGGGTCGGCTATCCACACCTAAAAAACTGAAATCCAGATATTCCAGGGAAGCTTACTCGCTTCTGGCCGGTATCTTCTTCCTCGGTTTTCCGATTCTCCGGAAATCTTAGGTATCTAGGGGGTTTTGGCTTAAATTTCAATTCAAGCGGTACCTTAAAACTGGATCCATTTATTATGCATGTAATATAGAGGTCGATGTATCTGAAAAAGTTACTGAAGGCTGGGCTTAGCTTCGGCGTAGGCTTAGGCTTAGTCTTAAGCCTGGCTTACTTTAGGCTTAAGTATGGATTCAGCTGGAACTTAAGCTTCTGCACTGGGCCAAAGCCTAAGCTTCACCTGAACCGAGCACAGGCTTAGCCTAGACTTAGTTTTCCGCTCAGGCTCAAGTTAGGCTTACAAGTTAGGTCCCAGCTCTACCATGGGCTTGGCTTTTGCTTAGTTTAGCTCCAGCTTTAATCGAGCTGATGTCAGACTAAGCCTAAGCTTAATCCTGACCCGTATTAGACTTCGCCTTGACTTAAGCCTAATCTCCGAAAAACCGCTCCAACAAAAACGATGAAGAAAAAGACAGCTTGTTCCTGGGTTCCAGACAGCCATGAACAGCCGAATGAAAAACGGGGTGGGCCCAGAAAAAACGGGCGGAGCCGCCGGGGCTCAATTACGCAACAACAACTGGCACTCAAGGGGTGGATCATCGGCCCAAAGGAGAAGCACACGCCCGACCCCGCCCAGAGTTGGCTCCTCCCCAAAACAGACTACCAAAGTAACCAAGACGTTCTGTCGGGAGATTGCTCAGAGCTGGAGCCGTGGAATAGCATAGAAGTGAGAAGCACTCGCTTTCGAGAGATTCAGGTGGGAAGTCTACAACCAACGCACCAGGTCCTACAACATCGTGTAACAACGATAAGGTGTTTCTCTCACTCTCTCTCTCTCTCTCTCTCTCTCTCTCTCTTTCTCTCTTTCTCTCTCTCGCTCTCTCTCTCACGCTCTCCATTAACCTGTCATACAAAAATCATATCAAAACATATTCGGATGCGGTTTTGAACGCTAATTCGCAAAATTTTAGTCAAGATCGTTCGATCCGGAGGAATTCTGGTGAAATCGGCATCTGAAGTCTACACCCAACTCAGCACTACGACCTATTCGCATGATTTCCCTTGCTTTCTCTCATTTTTTGGCTACTCTTTTTTTTTACTACTACTGCTACTCTTTTTTGCTTTTCGTAACTCCCTCGCTCTCTATCTCTCTCTCTCTCTCTCTCTCTCTCTCTCTCTCTCTCTCTCTCTCTCTCTCTTTCTCTCACACTGTCCCTCTATTCTCGCGCATTCTAAAAATATTCCTGGAAATCTATTTCGGAAATGGTCAGCCAACATCGCTATTTCGTCCAGCAGCGGCCCATCTCTGCTTATTTGGCCCGAATTTGCATCTCTAAATAGACAACCGGTAGGTACACCCGCCCGACCGTCAAAGGTCATTTTGTATTTGTCGGTGTCTGGGAATGATCTCTAGGCTGAAAATATTGGCCGGATTTACCTTGTTCTTCGTTGTCTTGATGCCTTACATCGTTATTTTCAAGTTAAAGCAGCAGCAACAGGTTAATTTTTTCTTTTTTAGAATGGAACCAGGGTTGAAAAGCCGCTTCGCGACTTTTCAACCCTGGCCCCGTCTCGGACCCCATACTATTCTACCCTTTGCATACTTGTCCTTCATCCAGAAGACAAAAAAAAATTAAAAACAACCCCTTCTGTCCCTTTATATAGACGACCGCCCACTTCCGGTCTATGCTAATTATCCCTAACAAAGAGGTTTTTACAAAAACCTAAATTTAATAGCGAAAATGGCTAATTTTTAAAAATTTGATATGTGTGCAGTCATCCCCAGACCATTACGCACCTAATGACGTATCATACGTAGCCTAATACCCGTCCCTTCTTGAGATATCCTCCGGACAGACAGACGGAAGTGGATGCAAAGTGGCACACACAGACACACACACACACACAGACACTATTTTTTTTATATATAGTAGGATTTTTAGATTCGGAACGGACCCTTCGTTATCGAATTCCCGGATCAGGTGCAGTTGTTCAGCTTTACGATGATGCCAAAGGTGGGACTCTTGGTGAAGCTCGTGCTAAAGGGATTTCTGCTACTGTGCTCTTGCTCTCTCTGCCGCTCTCTCGCTGATGCACAGTGGGTTCAGTGTTCCCAAGTGATCTTTGCAGGCCTGCCAGGGAATTCCCAAGCTCCCAGAGGCCGGATTCCCAATGAATCCGAAGGTTGTCCTAAGTAATTTCCGCGACTCCTAAAGCCGCACCCATGTCCAAGCTTCCAAATCCCTTTAACTCCAGATTTTAGTCTCTAAATTGCGATGGATTAAAGCAACTGGTAATTGTCCACTCGGCCCCCTCAAGTTTTGACAGTCGTATGGGTATTCGGTATACATGGGCATCACGGAATGAGAGTATACTAGTTCAGGTATCAACAACCGTATCGATTACAATATCCTTACATCCAGCTGGTTACTGTATCTGTCCGTCTTTTCAGAATGGTCACTCCCTGGTCCTGTTCCTCGTCGGCTCGACAACAGATCCGGACATTCAAAAAGATATCGACAAAGAATCTTCCCTCTATAATGACATTGTTCAATATTCAGCCATTGATAGCTATCGAGCATTGGTCTATAAGGTGCCCTCTCATATACCGTAATTTATCGCTTTTTAGAGCCTGGTCATGCTCAGGTTCCACGATGTCCACGGCCCGGCCGGGGTGCTCATCAAGGTTGGTGGATTGGGGGGCCACGAGAGAAAGAGTGAGAGAGCGAGAGAGCGGGACGGATAGAGACAGAGAGAGACAGAGCGAGAGAGAGAGAGAGAGAGAGAGAGAGAGAGAGAGACGAAAACGTCTAGTTTTGGCCGAAAACCTGCTAATAATTCCACAAGACTCTCTGCTCGTATGTCCACTTGTCTGTTTTAGGTAGATGAAGACGTGCTCATCAACATCGACGAGATCCAGCGACGGCTGGAAGCGGCGGGATTGGTCAGGAATTTTCTAAATCAAGGATTTTTGGAAAAACATAAAAAGTCGAAGTTTCGAAAAAATTTATTTGAAAAATTTCAGATTGGAACTCCGTTTATCGCTGGTTTGGTGGCAGAGGAGGGGGAAAATACCGATAAATCGGAGGATAGGGCATAAATGGTGAGAGACAGAGAGATAGAAAGCGAGGGAGATAGGGAGAGTGAGAGTGATACGGAGAGAGAGAGAGAGAGAGAGAGAGAGAGAGAGAGAGAGGTGCACTTTTCCAGGTACGTCTCCGAAAACCAGCTAACCGGCAGATTCTACCCAAAATATGCAAAAGGACTGGGCTACATGATATCCCGCCAGTCCACTCCGCTCCTATTGGCGAATACGAAAAACAGGCCGTTAATTCCGGTAGGTTTTCGGCTTGAATGTCATAAGCTTTACTATTCTACCCATTTATACGCGTTTAGCAGTTAAAAACCTGCAAAAATTCATCTAGATCGAAGACGCGTACGTGACAGGACTATTGGCGGTTAACACCTCGATTCGACACGTTAATATGCATGGCTATATTTATGACGTCAGTTTCTTTATTTAACTTAGTTAGTGAAATTGATCCACCTTCCAGTCAGTCCTCCAGCAATATTGGTGCTTTGATGGGCGCGTCGCGTTGATTTGTGCTCATGCTTTTAAAGTAATGCTTCGTTTCATCTGGCTTGGCTTCGGCTTGGCTTTGGCTTGACTTAAGCCTGGCTTTGAATATGCGAATTTAGGGTCAAGCCCAGCTACGGAGTGGCTGGAAAATTATGAAAGAAATGGAGTGCTGACGAAGTGCTGAAATAAAGTGCGGTTTTTGTTTATGAGGAATGAATAATTTAGAAATTTGACTTTGCGAAATCTACGCCTATTAATGCGGCTTTTATAGAAAAATCCTCACGCCGCATAGGCGGTACTTTTACATTATTGCGGGGAGCTAATTTTTTCTTATTAACCCTGAGACTACGATTTTACTAGCGCTTTTCACAAAATGTTATCATAGTCAAAATGTAGAAACTATCTAAAAATCCGAAAAAATTCGAAAAATTGGAATTTCGGTCAAAAACTGATGTTTTGTTTTAGTAAAAATTTCCAAAGTTATAATTTTTAGTAAGGGTGAAAACACTTTAAAAACAATTCTTTGATTCCTGCAAAAAAAGTAGGCTGCCCCTCCCCCGGTAATGGAAAAGAACCCCGGTAAGCCTAAGCCTAATTGTAAGCACAAATCCGACTCTATGCTTCCATTCTCATGTCTCGACTCCTGCAACAACGATATGCCGAGATATTGTGTGTTGGAAGGATGAAGGTATAAAATAGGACAAAGAAGAAACCCTTCTTCTCCAGAGAGAAAACAAGAAAAAGAAGCGGTTCTCGACATTAGCCAAATTAGGTTTGCCGCGCGCGTCCGACTGCCCAGCCATGGGCCTCCTCCTCCCGCTCGTCCTCCTCCTCAAGACTCCACCACCAACACTGCCTCTTTCTCCTCCCAATTTTTGTTGTCCGCCGCTCAGATTTATGCTCTTCTTCCCCCTTCCGGGTCACCAAACTCGGGGTTTGTCTGTTCGTCTGGGCTTCGATGAAAATCCATG